AGCTAACAGCAAAGACCCTGACATACTACTAATAATCACCTACTCTTTAGCATTGTGCAAAGGACTAAGAAGTATAAAAAAATAAGACAAAGTTCCTTGCCTTCATACATTTACGAATTGGAAACAAGATGAAAGTGTGATGAGGGAAAATGCAGTAAGTTATATAATTTAGCAACATACATTGAAGTGTTGTGGGATTCAAATAATAGAGACTTCAGTGAAGTCTAAATAATTTTTCTGACATCCATGTTGCCAATCTCTCTTCGTCAATTTTGTGGTTCTTAGTTGAGTTCCCAGCAACATTCAATTTAGTTGATTACTCCCAACTTCTAGGAATGCTGTGTTTTCTTCCCTTGAGTTCTGTGACACTAGACTCTTCCTAGTTCCCCTCCTAACCCAATGTTCCTTCTTCCTTCTCTACTCAGTCACTAGGTTGTGTGTTCGATACCTAGTCAGCACACATACAAGAATCAACCATTGAATGCACAAATAAGTGGAACAACAAATCAATGTTTCTCTCCCCCTTTCTCTCTAAAACCAATCAATAAAAATAAACTAAAATGAAAATAATAAAATGCCCAGGGGTTGGTTCTGATATCCACTCTATTCTCTGTCAACTGATTTTTCCTTTGATTAATGTATCCTTTTCATAGCTTTGAAGAACATCTATATGCCAATGACTCCTCTGTCTAAATTTCTGCTTGAGTGTGTGTAATATGCAACATAAACTTCATGTGACCTAAACATAATTCAACCTGTTTCTCCATCTTTTCCATTTGGTAAACGCAATCCCAATTCACCAAGTCCCTAGCCACTGTACCTTCTTCAGTTCACTTTTTAGTTTTCTTAACATGTGTTTTATAAATACTGAGCAAACTTTTTAGCTGTATGTAGCAGGAGGGAGAAGTGCGTCTATTCCAGTTTTAGTTGGAAACTAGAATTCGTCTCTGCTATAGTCTGAATGTTTGTACCCCCAATTCATATATTGAATTCCTAATGCCTAATGTAATGGGTATTAGGAGGTGGGGCTTTAGAAAGGTGATGAGGTTATTAGGTGGAACCCTTAGAACTTGGATTAGTGTTCTTATAAAAGAGACCCTAAGCAATCCCTCACGCTGTACACGATTGGAGTGAGAAGGTAACAGCTATGAACCAGGAAGAAGGCCCTCACCTGACTACGTTGGCACCCTGATCTCAAGACTTCCAGCCTCCAGAACTGTGAGAAATAAATTTCTGTTGTTTATAAGTTACCGAGTTGGGATTATTTTGTTATAGAAGCCCAAACAGTCTAACAAACTCTCTCTCCTTTATTTTTACATTTTCAAGAAATTTATTTTTTATTGTTAAGTATCTCTAAAGTCATTTTATCAATATAATTTTGAGATGTAGATCTTCTACTTATTAATTTTTGGGCACTCTATATACGTTTCATATTTGAGTTCTTTGTTGACTATAGATAGTAAATACTTTCTCCAATTCTATACTTTTCTTCTCTAAATGTGTTTTCCTTTTATATAAACAGAAATTCTTTAAAAAAAATTTTTTTTTAAATATATAGTCCATTTTAACTTTTTTCTATTTTATGTTTAGGGAACTTTGTAGTCTCTTAAAGAGATTTTTTTGCTCACTTTTTAAAAAATATTTTTTCATTGATTTTGAGAGGGAGAAAGAGAGAGAGAGAGAGATCAATGTAAGAGAGAAACATGATTAGTTGCCCCCTGTATGCACCCTGAATGGGAACCAAACCTGAAACCTGAGCGTTGCCCTGACCTTTTGGTGCACGGGATGATGCTCAACCAACTGAGCCAGGACTTCGCTTACTTTTTAAAATTCTTTTCCTTACAAAAAAGCAAAACCCAAACAAACAATAAACCCATTGGTTTCTTTATAATATGTAACTGTCCTAGAGCGAAAACAACCCTTTCCCTGCTGCCATTACACAGTAAGAATGCATATCATGCTCCATAATCAAAACAAACATGTTATATCCTAAAATAAGCAAAAAAAATTAGATAGGAAATCCTATCTCACCTTCAAAACACCATAAATATTTCCCGCAAGTTAGCTTCCTACCAAATATTTATTCTTTACCTCTGCAATACTGACGCCTAAAAATACATTACAACTTATATGTGCATATGATAATGATGTGGAAAATAATGGAACCAGAAATGTTAATAGGGATGTACAACCATAAAAAAAAAACACAGGATAAGACTAAACAAGGTCCATTCAACTGGTTTAAATTTTCAACCAAATAGAGATTTAAATTCTTCTAAATCAATCCATGTGCACACATTAACCAATAACAAAGTTAAATATGTTTTGTGGCAAGCTAAAACAAATATTTGTTTTTAGGTTAGGCTAACATCACCATCTGGTGTGGGAAAGCTAGACTGTGGTATTCCTTTCAGGCATTTTGCATTATCATATTTAAGAACTGGTAAAATAAAAACAAATTCTAAGTCTGAATAGATTTCAGTGATTTCCTTAAATCCATGACAAGTGAAAATACATATAGATCCTCAGAACTTGAAACATTTTCTCCAACATACTCAAAACCACAAAAAGGTTCAAGGATGGAAGCTTAGATGGAATACAAATCAAGACTAATTCTACTGCAATTTACTTTGTTTATGATTGATCTCAAAAGTGGGCAGATCATCTTGCTAAGAAGCCTGGGTTAATGAATTAAAGCAGCGGTTCTCAACCTGTGGGTCGCGACCCCTTTGGGGGTTGAACGACCCTTTCATAGGGATCACCTAAAACCATCGGAAAACACATATATAATTACATATTGTTTTTGTGATTAATCACTATGCTGTAATTATGTTCAATTTGTAACAATGAAATTGGGGGTCACCACATGAGGAACTGTATTAAAGGGTCGCGGCATTAGGAAAGTTGAGAATCACTGAATTAAAGATGAAATAATAGTCTTCTTTAGAGCCTTATACAAGACACTGTAGTAAAATGCTCCTAATCTGGAGATTTATCAGTAAAATGTGAAATGAAGACTTGCCAAATAAATCAAGTTGTTTATTGCCTTTATCTCGTTCTTTCTGTAATTTGTAACACAGAGGTACATGGACAATCACACCACCTGCTCTGGAGAATCATTGTCAGGCTTATTCTGCCAGAACCATTTCTTCTTTCTGCAGTAACTGAAATGAATAAAAAGTTGCTTATTTCTTTGACTCCCAACTGGAGTATTCTAGGAAGGTCAATGTCATCTTCCTATAAAAGAACTTCAATTCATTAAAATATAGTAGTATTTGTATTTTCTATAGAAGAGACATGAAGGGTACTGTAACCATGTAGAAACTTCCTTTCTTTAATATGACCTTTCTTCCCTTTTTTAATTTAAACTGGCCTCACTAGGACCCTGACTCACCTGCCTCCTCCCTTGCATGTCACTCCCTTAATCATTAAGCCCTCAGGGCAATGAGGTTCTGATCAGCATCAAATAATCTTAGAAACAAAGCCTCGGAACTGTTGGCCAGAGATAGTTTCCATCAAACTAGCCATAACATCTAGGCCTCAGTTATGTTTCAGCTCCGGGGCCAAAAAAGTGACAAAAGCAGATAAAGCGATGCCATGGCTGACATTAGGACCAAATGCCATGATCAACTACCCTGTACCCTAGCACCAACCAATCAGTAGAGACCACAACCCTAACTCCCTTAAATCACCTGATTAATGATCCCCCCCCCCCTTATAACCCATCCCCTGGAAGCCATTGGGGAGCCAGGTCCTCGAGCATTAGCTCACTGTGGGCATGGGCCACTTCCACAAGTAAAACCCTTTCTTTCTTTGCTGCAAGCTCCTGTGCATGTCTTTCTTTTTTTAAAATTTATCTTTATTATTGAGAGTTATTACACGTGCCTGGGTTGCGGGTTCGGTCCCGGGGGGGGGGGGGGGGGGAGGGCGGCGAGCAGGAGGCAGCCAATCAATGATTCCCTCTCATCATTGATGTTTCTAGTTCTCTTTTTCTGAAATAAAACAACAACAAAAAAAGAGCCTATATGGTTTCGGGGACTGATATTGTATAAGCCACTCAGAGAGCTTCCTTGAACTGGTGTCAGGACTTTCATTATGGATGTTCAGGCTGTAGGAATCTGTCAGATTGTCATGGCTTCCCTTCATTCCAACAAAAATGAAGCTCTGAAACTTTCATATAGGTGTCTTCCTGACTGGCAGCCTTAAAGACTCAGAGCCTAACTGTGATGTGCTCTAATACTGAGTACACATATCCTGGCCTACTGCTTCATCTACCATTGCTGTGGTTCCTGCTCGTAAATGAACTTCTAGAATGCCCCCTCTAAGACACAGGGAAAATGAGCTAATCCTCCCTCTTGATTGAAACTGGACACATTCTTTCTACTTTTTTTACTTAAACTGGCCTCACCCAGCACCCTGTTTCCTTCTCCCTACCATGTCCACTCCCTAAATCATTAAGTCCTCAGGAGAAGAGGTTCTAGTCAGTATCAAATAATCTTAGGAACAAAACCTCTAGTCTGTAGGCCACAGAGACAGTTTTGTCAAACTAGAGATAACGTCTAGGTCTCAGCTGTTTCAGCTCCAGACCCAGAGAAGTTGCGAAATCAGATGAAGCGATGCCGTTTTTGACGTCAAGACCAGATGCACTGGTCAACTACTCCCTACCCTAGTACCAATCAGTAGAGATCATGACCCTAAATCCCTTAGTCACAACGATTAAAAACCTGAAAGCCACTGATTAGTCGGATCTCTGAGCACTAGCTCACCTGTGACTCCGGGACACTTCCTGAACTAATTAACCCTTACTTTTTTTGCTGCAAGCTCCTGTGCATGTCTTACTGGGCTGTGATGTGTCCTGGCAAGTGAACCCATTTAGTCCAGTAACAATACCGAGTGAGTTTTGAATTCTATAATTTAGCTTGCATGAGCCCTATATTATCTTCCTATCAAAAAGTGCATTTATTTTATAAAAATATCATACCACATCACCAAAAGCTAAATATTTTTAGGTAAGAGAATTTTATTTACAGAAATGTCACAAAGATAAACAAAATTTTATTAACACAATTTTGTTAGTAATAATGAACAGACGAATGGTTTAATATATATCACTTGATATGTGATATACATTAAAAGAGTTTTCTACTTTTATCCATTTGTGTGTTTTTTTATATTTCAATTTTTAACAAATCTAGAAATAAGACAGTATACATGAGGCATATTTACTAAATACTTTTAAATTATGCTTCCTTCTACATATACCAAGTGAATTTTAAAACCATCTGCATATTAAATGGCCTTTTTATTATAATCCCTAAATTTAACAGAGTTAAGCAACAAACAGAACTCAAAATGCATAAAAGAAACTGTCATAAATTTTTCAAAAATTATGGCTCAAGCAATATCACAAATTAACTAAGAATTTTCCAAATATCGCTGTAAGAGGTACATTAAATGTTTTATAATTAAGTCTAGAATATTTTTACTTGTATCCTTGTCCACCAACTTGAACACACCATTTGTAAACAAATAGTACATGGCAGCACCTGTCATTTTAAGGATAGAAGGAATATGAACTACGTGCTTTCATATGCATATTATTTTCTTTATCCAAGTAACACTCAGTGTTTCCATTTATCTGTGAGTGACAAGATTCTTTAAGTACTTGTGGAAAACAGACCATTCTTTACTGATGGAAAGCTTCTAGTCTTATTCGGCTTGGATCTTCTGGGTGTCTCAAAGCAATTCCATTACGAAGGAGCAGCTCAATATAAGGTGGCCAAAAAGAATCACTAATTTTGACATATGGATCATGTGGAACATCAAACAATCTATTTAAAAGAATCTAGGAAAAGATATTATTTTAAGGAATGTGGAAAAGAAAATGCATCATTTATACAAATACTAAGTGCCGTAGCAATAAAGTAAAACTATACAATTCTCATCTCAATCACACTTCATAATATCAATATCTCAATTATTGAAATAAAATTTTCATCTATCATTAACTTTAGCTATTTCAAGTACATATCTGAGGGGCATAAATCTTTTGATCTCACTTAGGTATGATGATAATAGAATTAAATATTATTCCTATTTTAAAGCAATTACTTATTTTAATATACTTAAAATCCTTCTTACTTTTCATTGCTAATTCTAGTAGATGCTAGAAATAATTAAATGATAAAAATTCAACTTTAAAATGAACATGTAGACTGTTTTATTTTTTGCTAAATTTCAGTTTATATATTGTTTACTTTTATCATTGAAAATGTAAGTTGGAGACAAAAAATGGTTTCTAATTCTAAATTTTAGATGAGATCTCAGGGTATACTATTGGAAAATTACACACGTATTACCCAGTTAATCACTGCTAATATCAGCCACATATATGACAACTTTTGTTTAAAAAAAAAAAAAGTTAAGTCATCCATAAGAAACAGTAGTTTCTTAGTTTCAGTATAAACTGGAATAATTAGAAATATATTAAAATGTTCTAATATAACTTGATATATGATACACAAAAATGGGTATCATATGAATCTAATAAATATTTGTATTTTGCCTTTTCTTTTCTTTTCTTTTCTTTTTTGCATTTTGCTTTCAGAGCAATAATATTCTTTATTAAGATATCTTGAGGCACCAAAACTATTTAACTGGGTAAAAATGGAGACTTGAGCATCCAATTCATAAAATTACAATGAAACAAATTTAATGATATCACTCTTTCTCCTTAACTTGACAATTAATTTAAAAAGACACACTAACCCTAGCCAGTTTGACTCGGCTCAGTGGATAAAGTGTCAGCCTGTGGACCGAAGGGTCCCAGGTTCGATTCCAGTCAAGGGCACATGCCTGGGTTGTGGGCTCAGTCCAACGTGCAGGAGGCAGCCAATCAATGATTCCCTCTCATCACTGATGTTTCTATCTCTCCCTTCCTCTCTGAAATCAATAAAAAAATATATATATATATATATAATAAAATAAAATAGATAAAAAGACACACTAATTGTTAAATATCTCCCTCTTCATAGACTATTTTACCTTCCTCTCTGCCCAATTCGCAATGGATTGTCAGACCAAGATTTCTCAAATATTTAACATACTTGATAACTGGATGACGTTCAAAAGCATTTTTTTAAAATGTCAAAGAGCCCGGCTGGCATGGCTCAGTGGTTGAGTGTCGACCTACGAAGCAGGAGGTCATGGTTCAATTACCGGTCAGAGCATATGCCCAAGCTGTTGGCTCAATCCCCAGTGTGGGGCGTGCAGGAGGCAGCTGATCAATGATTCTCTCTCATCACTGATGTTTCTATCTCTCTTTCCCTCTCCCTTTCTCTCTGAAATAAATTAAAATATGTTTAAAATAAAATAAAATAAAAAGGTCAAAGATATTTATAAAAGAAAAGGCAAATGTTAAGCAGAAAAAGGTATTTCTTTACCAATTCTATAATTATTTGGAATTACTTAGTACTCACATTATGAAAAAAAAGAGGCTGATGTTACTTAAGGAAATATTATGTATGGATTTCTACAATTTTGTTAAAAGAATCCTTAAACTATGTACTGTGTTTTCAATAGAATGTAGAGTTGCTAACTAAAGATACATTTAATGTAACAGCGTAAGATTTCATTGTGTAAATATTAAATAATATAAAATTTTCTTGAAGTAATAATCTTGGAATATTATTAAGAGTAGGCTCTAGCCGAAACCGGTTTGGCTCAGTGGCTAGAGCGTCAGCCTGCGGACTGGAGGGTCCCGGGTTAGGTTCCGGTCAGGGGCGTGTGCCTGGGTTGCGGGCACATCCCCGGTGGGAGATGTGCAGGAGGCAGCTGATTGATGTTTCTCTTGCATCGATGTTTCTGGCTCTCTATCTCTCTCCCTTCCTTTCTGTAAAAAATCAATAAAATATATTAAAAAAAAAAAAAAAAAGAGTAGGCTCTAATTTCATGTTCTTTAAAAAATGACACTATTCTTACTAATGCTATATAGAAAACACAAACTAATTTTATACCAAAGATAAATTAACATAAGTATATCTAATAAAGATTGGTGTTTACCTTAAGAACTAAAGCAGTACTTTTTCTTTTTCAAGCCTATGTAAAATTATTCACAAATCACTAATTAAGAGACATCTTCAAGACAAAACAACTACACAAAACACTTACCTCTAACATTTCATGCAATGTTATCAGCTGTATATTTGATTCTTGAGTATTTTTCTTTGAGAGAAATGTGAATAACAAAGAATTAACATTATGATTCTGCCAATGGCAGAATATTAAACTATACTTATTACAAAAAATTAATATTTCTTAATTGCAATGGTACAAGGTATACTAAAACCAAACACCTATAATTAGGTGATTTAAAAAGAATTCTGAATATAAACGACCTGCTTGTACTAAGTCATTTTCATAAAAAAAAAATAAACAGTTGAAACAACCTCTAAGACAGTGAAATCTTTTGCAATTACTAGAAGATATATCTCAGACTATCTGTAAATATAAAATGGATGCTATATTATATATATTGTACACTGGCATATGTAAAAGTCTAGTGTTTGACCTCAGAGGGAAGGTAGGGGAGGGTGGGGGTAAGGGGGAGAGATCAACCAAAGGACTTTCTATGCATGCATACAAGCCTAACCAATGGACAAAGACACCAGGGGAGTGAGGGCATGAGTGGCGGGTGGGGGGGCAATGGGGGGATAAGGACACATATGTAATACCTTAATCAACAAAGAAAAAAATTTTTTTTAAATGTCTAGTGTTTGAATCTCCCAATCAAAATAACCCAAACAAATGACATTCCAGAATGTATTTATATAGCTTCAGTACAGGAAACTTGCTTCCCAGGGAGCCTTATTCGTTCATCTTTCTATAGTTCTTGACAGTTCGTAATGTTAACTGGTTCTTTATTCTTGAAATGACAGAATTTCTTCCAATTCCATGAAAGAGTTCCTTAAATATTTGAAGGCAGCTATTATGAATCTCAAGTCTTTTCCATATTAACCATTATTAGTTCCTCCAATTATTTTTTATAAGCCATAGACTTGTAGCCCTTTCATATTATGGTTGTTCTTTAAATGTGGCCTAATTTGTCTTTTCTGCTTTTTTTTAAAACCCAGTCTCCACAATGATATTGGTGTGATTTGAACACCAAAGATCAAAAAGAAGACTTATTTCCATACTTGTAGATGCTGGAATTCTATTCATTAAGTTTAAGATTACATTAGCTTTTGGACATCTATTTCACCCTATTAACCTCTACTTGAACATAGTGTCATATTTATTTTTTTAATCCTCACTCAAGGAGCAAGGATATTTTTTCCTTTGATTTTTAGAGACATTGGAAGGGAAGTGAGAGGGGGAAAGAGAGAGAAATATTGATGTGAGAGAGAGACACATCTATTGGTTGCCTCCCACACGCACCCTGACAGGGGACCGGAATCAAACCTTCAACTCAGGTACAGGCCCTTCACCAAGAATCAAGCCTGCCACCCCCAGTGTGGAGGGGAATGATGACACTTTAACCACAGAGCAACACTGGCCAGGGCACATGAACAGATTTTAAACAATTCTTCTGATTTTAAAAGTTACACGTGCTCATGGAAAATATTCAAAATAGCAAAAATGAAAAATCTCTCCTATGATCCTAGCCCCTAGACATAAGCACTATTACATCTTTTGGTATAAATTAGACATATATTTTAATCATCTATGTTTTACCCATTCAACAACAAATTGTGAGCATTTCATTAATTCCTTTGATAGTGAGTGTTCAATACATTTTTTAAAAAATATCTTTTATTGATTTGTTTTTTAAGAGAGAGGAAGGGAGAGGGAGAGGAAGAGGGATAGGGAGAGCGTGGGGAGAGGGAGAGGGGAGAGAGAGAGAGAGAGAGAGAGAGAGAGAGAGAGAGAGAGAGAGAGAGAGAGAAAGAGAGAGAAAAGAAACATTGATGTGAGAGAGAAACACTGATCAGTTGCTCCCTGCTCCTGCCCCACCAGAGATCAAACCTGCAACTTAGATATGTGCCCTGACTGGGAATCGAACCCACCACCTTTTGGTGTATGGGACAACTCTCCAACCAACTGAGCCACTGGACCAGGGTTCAATAGGTTTTTTAAAGCTGCATTTTCCCCATCATATGGATAAATATAAAAAAATGTATTTAACTCCTCTTGTATTGTTGAACAACAAGGTTGCTTCTAATTTTTCAATAAATATTTTAATGCAATGAGGAATTATTTCTCTACATCTATCTATGTGTGTGTCTTTGAAATGTATAATAAACATAGAAATATTTATCAGAAATTTACACTTGATCCTATCTGAAACAATTTCATACATGCATATACACATGAATGTTTTCTTTAAAACTTACCCTTTTCTTTTTAACATTTCTATCAGGCAGAGGAAAGTGGTCTTCTAGAAACTCACTCAAGGTAACCAATAGTTTCTCCTTATATTCTTTTACATCATGTAGTTTAGTTTTCAGCTCTTTAAAGGTTCTAAGAGATTTCAAAATAATGAAGAGAAATAGTTCACTGACAAAATACCTAAGTATATAAAACTGGTTATTCATAAGGTTGATCAAGAACTCAGTTCAAATTTCATTTGCTCAAACCAAATTTAACTAGTTTTATGAAAGTAATATTCTCTATTTAATATACAGGGAAACTAAAAGTCAAGTCATTCATAGAAGATCATGTAATAATAGAAATCAAAAGCTGGTATAAGACTCATTGTTTCTGGTAAAATTTACCCCTTTTCATGTTAAAAAAAAAAGAAAGAAAGGAAGAAAATACTTTCTCCTAGTTTAAAAACAGGACACAAAAATAATACCTTGATTCTGTCACAATCTGATGTTTCAATTCATTGTGTAGTGCAATAAGAGATTCAAATATCTGTTGCTGTTCATCCAACCATTGTTGCTCCCTTTCAACACAGAAAAATAAAACATCAATGCCAATAAAGCAGCCAAATAAAACATCAATGCCAATTCAACAAATCAATGACTAATAGTAATTATAAATATACCTTTCCAAGTCTTCCTTTAACTTTTCATTCTTTGACTGAATAGTAGATAGTACCAATTCAAGATCATGTCTCAATTTTTGGAACTAGAACAAAATAATTCATATTAATTGCTTATTCTTTAATCATATAACTAGTTATATTTCTGAATGATAGTAAAATTTATGTTTAATTCTAAAATTTATATTCAGAAATTAACAGCAAAAAATCTGAGCAGAAAGTCTTTAAAATGGACATAGAGAGCAGGTGCTAAGTTCTCTGTAATATTCCATTGTCAAATTCAAAAATATAAGACGGGGTTTTTGAGCAATACATTACATACTGAAAGGCAATTTAATGGTGAGTTTTCAGTAATCAGGTAAATTAGGTCTCCTTTCTAAGGAGACTATACAAAAACAAACACAAATCAATATTATTCATTCAACAAATATTTATTGACTGTCAGGCATTGTTGAAGGGAGTCAGGGATGCAAAGGTGAACAGAACAAAGAGTGGAATCCACACAAACAAATATATAATTCCAGCGAGTGATAAAGTCTATGAACAACAAAATAAGTCTAGCCCTGGTTGGCTGGGCATTGTTTCATGCACCAAAAGGTCTCCTGTTCAATTCCCATTCAGGGCACATGCCCAGGTTTCAGGTTAAGTTCCAGTCGGGGTGCATACAGGAGGCAACCGATAGATGTTTCTCTCTCACAGCGATGTCTCTCTTTCTCCCCATCTCTCTTTCTAAAATCAAGAAAACCGCCAAAACCGGTTTGGCTCAGTAAATGGAGCGTCGGCCTGCGGACTGAAAGGTCCCAGGTTCGATTCCGGTCAAGGGCATGTACCTGGGTTGCGGGCACATCCCCAGTAGGAGATGTGCAGGAGGCAGCTAATCGATGTTTCTCTCTCATCGATGTTTCTGACTCTCTCTCTCTCTCCCTTCCTCTCTGTAAAAAATCAATAAAATATATTTAAAAAAATAAATAAATAAAATCAAGAAAACATATTTTTAAAAGTAAATAAATAAACAGATTTAGGGCAACCTCAATCAAAATTCCAGTAAGCTTTTTTATGGGATAGAAAGACAAGCCAACTCTATATGAAAAATAAAACAATTTTGGTAAAAAACAACAAAGTTAGGTAACTCATACTATTTATTTTCAAGACTTATTACAAAGCTTCAGTAAGTAAAATAATGTGGTATTGGATTAAGACAGAAACACAGAACCAAGGAAGAGACACATCCAAAGCACAGAAAGGAGAACAAATAAAGAGTCTAGAAACTGATTCACCCATACATGGTAATTAAATTTCAGTAAAAGAAAAGTCAAAACAGATAGTTCTTTGGAACAATTTGTATCTATATGCAAAAAATCAACCTTTAACAACTTATTTCATGTATAAACATTATTTCAAAATGGATCATAGACCTAAATGTGAAACCTACAACTTAAGATTTCTAAAAGAAAACATACATGAACATCTTTGTGACCTTAAGTTGGACAAATATTTCCTATATTTGAGCATAAACTTTAAGAGTTGATAAAATAGACTTAATCCAATTATGAGCTTATGTTCTTCAAAAGACACTTAAGAGAATAAAAAGACAAGTTTCAGTGAAAGGGTTAACTCAGCAGGCCAAGGTTGCACAAACTCTGCACATTACCAAGAAAGATTTTTCTTTAGGACTGGCTCCTGGTGGATTCCTGGAAGAGAAGCTATGAGACACTGGAATATTCTGCCTATTGCGAGTGTTTTGCGTATGCCCGGAGCCTTGGGCCAGTTGGTACCAGTCTGATTACACAGTTTATTCTAACTATGTCATTCTTGGTAAATGCATTTTTGTTCTGGGACCTGGAGTCTGCATAGCTGAAGTCGGTCAAGGAGGCCCTGCATGCATAGTGATGGGACTCCTGATAAAAACCATGGACAATAGGCTAAAATGCATTTCCCTGGCTTTTTTTAAAAAAAATATGTTTTTATTGACTTTAGAGAGAGAGGAACGGAGAGGGATAGAAAGAGAGAAACATCAATGAGAGAGAAATTTCGATTGGCTGCCTCCTGCACACCCCCTACTGGGGATCCAGCCGGCAACCTGGCATGTGCCACAACCTCTTGGTTCATGAGCTGATGTTCAACCACTGAGCTGCACTGGCCAGGCTCACTTCCCTGTTGGACCACACTTTGACCAAGTTGTCACACATAGTTGCAGGGAGAAGTAAACACATCCACTGGGAAAGGACAGCTATACGCTTGGCCCACGTGCCTTTTCCCTTTGCTCCTTTTAGCCTGTATCCTCTCACTATAATAAACACAACCATGACTATAATAGCTCTTCTGAATGCTGTGAGCCTATCTAGCTAATCACAGAACCTAAGAGTGGTCTTGGGGAAAACCCTGACAGTTGGCATCAGAAGTGGACTTTTTGGCCAAAGGAATGGTGGCATCAGAGGTCTCCTTGACGTTTCAACAGTTTGAACAGCTATAATTCAACAAAGGATTTCCTGCTCAACAAACACATCTGAGAGATCCGAGTATTGAAACAACTGAAGGTGGGCAAGAAGAAGAAAACGGGGGAGGTGGAAAGGGAGAAGAGCTGAGTTGGTGCCAAGGATGCAGCCTGGATCTCGTGGCCCAGAATTCACTGTGAGGTTCAGCCTAAAGAGGGGCAGAATCAGGTTAGCACTGGTACTCCCTTCAGCAGGGAGGAGCAGAGAGATACAGTGAGTATTCCTGAAGGAACGGTTATTATGAACTGTGGCTGAACCCAGTGACCTGGGCAGGGATGACAGGCACACTCTGTGACTAATCCAGGGTTGGGTGAAGACACAGAGGGGAGGCCGCTGAGGTTTGCCAGTCACCATTACTGGGAGAACAAAGCAACAAAGACAGCCGCCCCCATCCATCACAGCTGTATCTGGCTGCAGTGGACAGCACTGGGATTTCACAGATTTAGAACAAATTGTCCACCACATTCCCCCATTGGGTCTGGCCTGTGACACTGAGGCAACCTGAACACAGAGGAAATGCCCACCTTCCCAGGGAACACAGGACATTTCCATCATCCTGCCGAGACCTGAAAGTCAGAGCTGTGCAAAAGACGAAACAACTTGTGCATCAATGCCACCTACTAGAAAACAGTAGAAAGACTTCTTATCAATTTAATGCCACTCACATATAGATACCTCAGTAGAGAAGGAATCCACCATGAATAACCAAGATAACAGAGCAGCTCAAAAATAAAATTAAAAATCTCCAGAAAATAAACATGAAGACATAGAAATACGTAATTTAAATAACAGAGAATTCAAGATTGCAGTTCTGAAAAAAACCTCAACGAGTTATAAGAAAATACAGATATGAAGTTTAATAAACTCAAAAATAAAATCCATGAACAAAATGAGTACTTTACCAAAAAGATTGAAACTTTAAAAAAGAACTTTAAAAAATTCCCTAACTTGACAAAGGAAATAGGTTAAGTCCAGGAATTGCAGAGAGTCCCAAACAAGATGAAACCAAAGGGGCCCACACCAAGACACATTATAATTAAAATGCAACAGGTTCAAAACAAAGAGAACCTTAAAAGCAGCAAGAGTAAAGCTGTTACTTACCTAAAAGGGAACTACCATAAAACTGATTTTTCAACAGAAACTATGCAGGCCAGAAGGGAGTGGCATGAAATATTTAAAGTGATGAAAAGCAAGGACCTACAACCAAGATTACTCTACCCAGCAAGGCTATCATTTAGAATGGAAGAAGAGATAAAGAGCTCCCCTGACAAGAAAAAGCTAAAGGAGTTCATCACCACCAAGCCAGTTTATAAAAAATGTTAAAGGGTCTTCTTTTAGAAGAAGAAGATAAAAAATATTAATAATAAAATGTCAATAAACATATATCTTTAAATTACTTTTAAATATAAATGGATAAAATGCTCCAATCAAAAGACACAGGATGGCTGAATGGATAAGAAAAAAGACCCATACATATGCTGTCTACAAGACTCACTTTATGAGACTGGCGCGCTGCCTACTGCGCTAAGGATGCAGCTAAGACTCACTTTAGACTGAAAGATACACAAAAGGATAAAACAGATATTTCATGAAAAAAAAAAAAAAAAAAAAAAAGCTTGGGTAGCAATACTTATACCAGACTTTAAAACAAAGGTATAACAAGAGACAAAGAAGTACCCAGTAATTCCACTTCAGGGTTATTTATCCAAAGAAACCCAAAACACTATGGAAAAGACATATGTATCTGTATGTTCACTGCAGCATTATTTAAAATAACCAAGATATGGAAGCAACCTAAATGCCCATCAATAGACAAATGAATAAAAAAGAACTGGTACATATACAATGGAATATGATCACTTCACAAGTTATATAAAGGTCTAATCACCAGGTAGTATACCCGAAAGTAATATAACATTGTAAGTGAACTGTAATTTTAAAAAAATTAAAAAATAACAGTAATAAATATCAAAGGTCCAAAAATTATAAAATATTTTCTTCAAGAAAGCATAATTAATATCAAAATAGAAAAGATGGTTTTAAAGAATCTTTATCCTATTCCTTATGGCATGAACTTACCTAAAACATTTATAGTAGGGTGACTAAAAATTCATTAAGTGACTTACCTCTTCTTTTCCTAATGTTACCAGGACCTCTTCACTCAGTGGAAGTACTATAGAAACAAAATTAACATATGCTTAGTTAACTTTGAAAAATCAAGAATTTGACTTTGTGGTTTCTCAGATACCACTTTTCCTTTCCATTTAATGTTACAGAACTTTTTATGAAATATGTACAGTTTATGAAATTATTCTTATTTAGAAGCTCTACATATATATTAATTTAGACCAATGGTTGGCAAACTGCAGCTGGCGAGCCACATGCGGCTCTGTGGTCCCTTGAGTATGACTCTTCCACAAAATACCACGTGCAGGCAAGCATGTACAGTGCGATTGAAACTTCGTGGCCCATGCGCAGAAGTCGGTATTTTGTGGAAGAGCCACACTCAAGGGGCCAAAGAGCCGCATGTGGCTCGTGAGCCGCAGTTTGCCGACCACTGATTTAGACAAATGTGCTATCATGCATTTTGTTTTTAGTGGCTTTTTCTTTTCTTGCTTTGTTTTCCCAACCATTAAAATTCAAAATTAATAACCTCTAGTGCATTCCTTCTGTGCATAGGATCCTATTCATGTATACATATACACATTTATCTGTTCATATACATGCAAGAGTTATTAATTTTGTCAGTGCTGGTTTTACAAGAATGGGATCATACCATACACATTATTCTTATCTTTTTAAAAAATATGTATTTATTGATTTCAGAGAGGAAGGGTGAGCGAGAGGGATAGAAACATCAATGATGAGAGAGAATCATTGATGGGCTGCCTCCTGCATGCCTCCCACCAGGGACCGAGCCCACAACCCAGGCATGTGTCCTGACTGGGAATTGAACCGTGACCTTCTGGTTCATAAGTCTACACTCAACCACTGAGCAACACCGGCCAGGCTAGTGATCATTAATTTGCCATTACTTTGTTTACAAAAATATAAACCTAAAAATAAGAATCTTACTTTCAGGAGTTTCTTTCTGCCATTGACTGAGTTCAGCAGTTAAACATTTCACTTGCATAATTAATAATGACAGCTATAAAAAAACAACAAGAGAATAAAACAAAATCATTTCTTGTAGAATATTCATAGCTATTCATGATGAATGTGTAGAGATTTTTTATACATTAATACAAGGTCTTAACATAAATGGCTAAGATAATAGCTACCTAAACTATAAAAAAATTATCACTCCAAACAGAATTCTGCTTTAAACCACATTTATAGCTCACAAATTGCCAGTTACATTAGTGATATGGTATTAAAAAATGATCAATTCTACTTCACCACTCAATCTAAAACAAAAGAACCTAACTACATTAAGTTTATTCCCTAAATTAATATATATATTTTTAAAAGGATGCTATTTCTTGCCAACATTTTTAAGACAAATTTGCACTAAAATGCTCTTTTTCCTCTCTATGCGTTTTTAGGAAAATTGCAACTGTTTTTAGCCGAGTAATGAAAAATAACTTCAAATGCATACATAGAGATAATTATAAAATGAGACTGGTTCCACAAGTCACATATAAAAAAGTTTTACTACACAACAGCTTGTAAATTAGCCAAAGATAAATTTAGGACGGGTATGTTTCCATTACTAGGAGGCTCCAATCATTGTAATGTTGATAATTACAAATTTATGTGATAAATATTTTGCCTGATGAGACCACAAAATTAAAGTCATGTGTGGTTAAAGCTAAATTTCAGCACGTTTCATCTCATCTATATAATTCTTATTAGTAGCCAAACATAAAAAAAATTCATATTTCAAAAATGCAGTAGGTATTACTTCAATATTTACACTAAAAGTACTGTCTTTTTAAACCAATTTTTATTATACAGAGCAGGTAGTTCCTGCTTTGTATTATAACACTGCCTGTTGAATAGTCATAGGTTAAAAAAACACACAAAACCTAGCCTCTTTAAAAAATTCATATTATTATATAAAAATGCATTTGCAGGTATTTAAATTATTTGCCAAAGGAGAGTTTAACATTATTTTCTTATAGATAACTAAATAAGAATCTGGGAAAGTTTTTTATTAACTATAAAGTGATGTATAAATGTTAATTATTATTATTACTAGGAAGTGGTAACAAATTCTTAAAAAGCAGTATCTAAACTAGGCAAAACTATCCTAATGATAAAGAATTCATGTATTTTCCAGCACATATTAGGTTGAAATATATAAAATTACTAATATTCATTTTTAACCTATTAAAAAACAGTAACTTCATACAGTTCAACCTTGTACTATATTGATGAAACACAGCTCTTACCTTGCCAAAGCCCAGCTAAGGCAAACACTCAAATTATTTCTAATCTATAACAAAAGCATAATATGCTAATTAGACCGATGTCCTTCTAGACGACCTTCTGAACGAAGCCACAGTAGTGGGAGCCAAGGCAGAGGCAGCCACTGTGACAGCAGGGGCCAAGCCCCTTGCACGGATTTTGTGCATCGGACCTCTAGTCCTTTTATAAAATTAAACAACCTTTTCTTAAAAAATATTATGTATAAGGGTAGTACTTCTAAAGGTACATAAACATAAAAATTTGAGAATCTTGTCATTCTCTCATTTAAAATAACATTTTGCTTGAGAAAATGAATTGTTTTAATTGAAGATTTTAAGTCTAATAGGTATACAGAAAAGAGTTAACAAAGCAAGCCCTAAGATTATCCGTAAAGGTCTGCTTACAAAGGTGGCATGCTCCCACCAGTATGGGAGAACTTTCGTTGGACTCATTTGTATATTTTTGTCTTTGTTCTTAGAATTTTTACTACTAAAACATTTTTAACTCTTTTTTAAAAAAATATGTTTTTATTAATTTTAGAGAGAGAAAGGGAGAGGGAGAGAGAGAGAGAAACATTGATCAGCACGCCCCCTACTATGGATTAAACCTACAAACTGAGCATGCGTCCTGACTGGGAATCAAACCAGTGACCTTTTGGTGTATGGGACGATGCTCAACCAACGGAGCCACAGCAGCCAGGGCACATTTTTAACTCTTGTATGATCAAATACATCTAAGTGTTCATATATATAATGTGCTCATAATATAGATATACATATATACATATATATATATAATAAAAGCATAATATGCTAATTAGACCAGACAGCCGAACAACCTTCCAGACGTCATTCTGGACGTCCTTCCGGATGAACTGGGGCAGTGGGGGCCGAGGCAGAGGCGGTTAGGAGTAATCAGGTAGGCAGGTGAGCAGTTAGGGGCGATCAGGCAGGCAGGCAGAGTGATTAGGGACGATCAGGCAGTTAGGGGAGATCAGGCAAGCAGACAAGTGATTAGGGGCGATCAGGCAGGAAAGCAGAGTGGTTAGGGGTGATCAGGAAGTTAGGGGCAATCAGGCAGGCAGGCAGAAGTGGTTAGGGGCGATCAGGCAGGCAGGCAGAGTGGTTAGGGGCGATCAGGCAGGCAGGCAGAGGGGTTAGGGGTTATAAGGCAGGCAGGCAGGCGAGCGGTGAGGAGCCAGTGATCCCGGATTGTGAGAGGGTGCAGGCCAGGCTGAGGGACACTCCCCTCCCCTGCACGAATTTCGTGAACCAGATACACACACACACACACACATATATATATTATTGATTTCAGAGAGGGAGAGGGAAGAGAGACAGAAACATCAATGATGAGAATCATTGATTGGCTGCCTCCTGCACGCCCCCTACTGGGGATTAAGCCCATAACCCAGGCATATGCCCTTGACAGGAATCAAACCGGGACCCTTCAGTCCGCAGGCCTACACTCTATCCACTGAGCCAAACCGGCTAGGGCTAAGTGTTCTTTTATAATGTCTAGATTTTTATTAATAGCCAAGTTCTCCCATGTCACTAGGTTGCACAGTCTCCTTGCTTTTCTTGTAATGAAATATGATTGTACCACTATCATTCCTTAACTAATTCATCCCTTTCCCATACATTGGAACTATCATCTTTGTTATTTTAAATTCTTAATCTGTTGCAAAGACCCTTTGGTGTACTCCTAAACCAATTCCATAGGTCTCTGATTATTAAAATGGATATCTTAATCCTTTTTTAAGCCTCGGTAAAATCAGCTACGATTCCACACAGATAGTAAAATACCTGTGGCTACTGTACCTAACACAAAGTAGAAAAGTCTTTGTTCTAATTTTTAACAAAGTACCATAATAGCAGCCAAGGGGCAATTGACTCAACAGTTAAATGTATGTATAGCTGTGGAAAGATAAAAAAGAAAATATTCTTATTTATTTATAATAGCTTATTCAAGATAGTTTTTAAAATACTTCTCTTAAATCAGAAAGAGTAGAGAATTATCCGAATGATTAAGCATACAGGTATTAACAAAACTATTATACTTGACAGATAAACTTCTTATCCAAAACAATGAATTTCAAAGAAAGGAAGGTTTCATACCTGAGCATTTGAATCAGTGAGTGTCTCGGTTCCAATAAGTGATAATTTATTCTGATACTTGATTTAAAAAGTAAAAAACAAAAACACAGAAAAACAAGTCACACTATAACCCAAGATTTCCTCTCCCTCCCCTTTTATACCAGTCAATATCATATTCTTTTAAAACAATACACAATTACCTGATGTAAGACAACAAATTGTTTTTAATTCCTCACTTTCTAAGCAGGAGGGTAAGGAAGGCAGCCAAATTGGTCCCAAGATGAAGACATTAAAAGTAAAAGGGTATATAGACTCTATACAGAATTTAAAAAATTAGTATGGGAAAAAGGAACAAAGAGCAAAAATGAAAACTAGGGTGAGTTAGAAGCTGGATAACGGGAAAATGGGGAACAAGAGGGAAATAACTATAGGAAAATAACAAAAGAGGTAAGAAGACAGTTATGATTATAAGAAAATAAAGCCTTTTAGAGACAGTTTTTTCTGTGCCATTAAAAAAATCCACAACTGTTAATAGCAATTACTGGTATATCTGAACAAAATTATGATTAATTTAAATTTTATTTGTGATTATTTCTATTTACAATATCTTCTACAAATATATATTTTTATTGATTTCAGAGAGGAAGAAAGAGGGAGAGATAGAAACATCAACGATGAGAGAGAATCATTGATTGGCTGCCTGCTGCCCACCCCCTACTAGGGATCGAGACTGCAACCCATCAAGCCTGCAACCCAGGCATGTGCCCTTGACCAGAATCAAACCCGGGACCCTTCAGTCTGCAGGCCAACACTCTATCCCCTGAGCAAAACCAGCTAGGGCAACAATATCTTTTTTTAAATAAGAGTTTAGTTGAGCCAAATAATGACATAGGCCGTGGAGCAAAATCTCAAATGTTCTAGAAAATAACAATTTTGTAGCTTCTTTTATGCATTTGAAATTAAGGATGGAAAGTATATGGAGGTGGGAGAAAGTAAGGTGGGTATTGGATTACAGGATAGTTAACAAAATATGTGCTCTCTTTTTTAAATTTCCAACTGAAAATTTACTGGGAAGAATCGAATGTGAAAAATGGCTGTAGCCTGCATCATATACTATGATACACTATCATATGCTATTTCAAGTAGAACAAATTTTTACCAAAATACTGTAGTGTACCAGAAGTGACTCTATCTCATGAACTAAAAAAATATATATATATATACATTTCAAAAATAATATTTTCTAAAGTAACTCGTACTTTTACTCAAACTCCAGAATTGGGTGTCCTCTAACTTCTATGTTCTCTATCTCAGGAAGTAACTCCACTAATCATCCATTGGCCCAAGCCAGGAACCTGAAACTATCCATAACTCCCCCATTTCACAACAATTAATCTCCAAGTCCTTTTGGTTCTACCCTCTTAATATCCCTTAAATCCATTCTTCTGTTTGCAATGACAGGAGTTAGCCCTTCAGTACTTCTTACCAGGCAGGACTACTACAGCCTCCTAAATGCTCTTTCTATCTGTAGTCTCACCTTTCTTCAAAACCACCAGAGTAATTTTCTCAAACTATATATCTCATCATATCACTTCATATTTATAATCCTTTAATGGCTCCCCACAGTATACACTCAACAAATCTGGTCATGTTCTTGCCCCTAACTATCTCTCCAGTCTCACTTCACAAGTCCTCTCTTCCTAATTTACATAAGTCATAATAGTCTACATGGAGTTCTCTACCAGTAAACTCTTTCAACCTTTATATATTTTGTTCCTTCTACTTTGTATACCTCTCCCAATTTCACAGGCTAACTCCTATAAATCCTTTAGAAATGAATTCAGTCATTACCTCTTTTAGGACACTATCCTTGACCCCTTCAGTCTAGGTTTAGGAGTCCTCCTAAGTACAGTCTTTGTATTTCTAATATAATGGTTACTGCCTTCATTAGATGATAATCTCCTTGAGGGTAGGGATTGCTATAATTTTTTTCTCTTCCTACAGTTCATCTAGTATAAACTTCATTGAATGTTATAGGTCTAAAACTTATATAAATATTTATCGTACAATATAATGACGTTCAGGAATCAGCAGAATTATTTCTCAAGTCCATTATTGAAATAGAAATCTTATAGTAATTAATTGATATATCACTTTAATCTCTTGATACTTACTTCTTCCAGATCTTTCCACATTTCTTCACATTTTTTAATAAGTTCTTCCTTAGCAGTTGTAATATCTTCATCTGTAGTACTATCTGGATCTAGATCTTGGTTACTCATTGACATTGCCTTGTGATTTCCTTAGCCTTATAAGAAAACCTAAAGTAAAAAATATTTGTTGAACACCTATTACTTGCCAGATACTCACCTAGGAGCTAAAGGTGTAACAGTGAACAAAATAGATTAAAATCCCCTCTATGATGGTGCCTACATTCTAGCTAAGAAAAACAAAAATAAGCCTAAAAATGTTAAAAAATCATACTATAGTACATCAAATGATTTATAAGTGCTATGAAGAAAAGAAAAGCAGAGAATATAGCCAGTGCTCAGGAAGGGGCAATGTATTTTACATAAGGAGGCCATATGAAGTCACTGAGAAGTTGAGAACTGAGCAAAAACAGAAAGGAAATAATTGCGATCTGGTGATATTTAGGGGATGACGATCCAGGTGAGGTATCTGGAAGTGCAAAGGCCTTGGGCAGAAGATGTAAGATAGAGAACACCAGATGAGGTCAGAGAGATGATAACAGATCATGCGGGCTCTAGGCCATTTTAAGGACTTAGGCTGAGATCGTAAGTGATTAAAGAGGAATGACATGATTTAAATCACGTTTTAACAGTATAACTCTGGTTAATTACAGCCAAGTAAGAACAGAAGCAGGAAAGCCTGTTAGAAAGCTATTGCAATAATCCAAGGATTAATATTGAGGCTGTACCAAATGTCTAATTCTGAATATATTTTTAAGATAGAGCCAGTAGGATTTCCTAACAGCTTACATATAGTGTAAAATGAAGAGAGGAGTCAATTATTACTGAAAAGGTTTGGACCTGTGCAATTGGAAAGATGGAGTTGCCAATTACTGAGATGGGGAAGATGGTGGAAGAAACAAATTCAGCAAGATTAAGAATTCAGTTTTGGCCTGGCCAGCATGGCTCAGTGGTTGAGCATCGACCTATGAACCAGGTCACTGCTCAATTCGCGGTCAGGGCATATGCCCAGATTTCGGCTCTATCCCCAGTGAGGGGTGTGCAGGAGACAGCCGATCAATGATCCCCTCTCATCACTGATCTTCCTATCTCTCTCTCCCAGCCTGAAATCAATAAAAGTATGTATATTTTTAAAAAATGTGTATACATTTTTTGGGATACCCTATATTTGCACAAGTCTGCATGGGTATGCTTACTGCAGCATTATTTATTAAAAAAAATTATACTAGTAAGTGTAACTCAACAGATTGTCTAGGTTTAAAACCTGGCTTCAATACTTACAAGCTGTGTGACCTTGGGCAAGACACTTAAACTGGCTGTCCATGTTTCCTAATCTTTAAAATGAAGATAATCAGACACACAAAAAAGTGATCTGATTAGAGCAGAAGGCAGAGAAGAAATGAGACCAGCTAGGTAGAATAGGCCAGATAAAGGGAGTCTTTAAAACTAAAAGCAAAACAAACAAAAACCCTTAGAAAGTACTTACTACCGGCAGTTCCTTTCCTGTACCTGGGGTCCACATCAAAGCAAAAGTAAAGGAGAGATTCATCTAGTTTGAAATACTGTAGGTAACCAGGAGACTGCTAAGTAGGTTTTTTTTTAAAGCAGTGATTTATGGAGGTCATTTTGACAAGTTGTACTTAACGGATTAAAAAACAAAGGATTAAGATGGTAAATGTCATGTTGGGTGTTTGTCTTTAACCGCAGTATATTTCCTTTCTTTTTTTAAAGAAGAGAGCCAAGTCCAGAAGGCCACTAAGGGCTGGAAGCCTAGGCCAGGGTGCCGGCGGAAGGGTGAGCGGTCCCGCCGTGGGCCACTCGGGCAGGGCTGGGTCTCTCCCCAGAGAACACTAGCCAGCGCTCGCCACCTTCTTCGGAGCGTGTGTGGGAGGAGCGAGCAGCTCTGGGGAGAAGACCTGTTGGGAGCACTGGCGGGAGCCCAGGGAGCTCGTTCCTTCCAATCCCCACCGCGCCGTCCTTCTCCCCTAACCCGCGGGGTTCTAAAGCCGAAGAGCCGGGCTCCAGGCCCCGGTTCCCAGGAGGTCAGGGTCCCGGTGGCGCGGTCGCCCCGGCCCGTTTCTTACCACTGACGTCCCAGACCTGCAGCCGCCGCCTCCAGCTGTCAACAAGCCTGCGCCCGGGATCCGCGCGCGCTGCTTGCTGATTGGACCCGTCACAGCCAATCCCGAGCCTCTCTCGGCGGCTGACGAGCCGGCTGCGCTGCCTGGGGATTGGTTGTTGAGCTGGGAGCGTCGCGCCTTTTCTGACGATTCGGGCGACATGGCGGCGGAAGCGGGTAGCGATTCCCAGCTAAGACGGAGAAGGCGCCGGGACTCGGAGGAGCCGGAGCAAACGGAGCGCAAAGAGAGGGAGCTGGCAGTGGCCGTAGCCATGGCCCAAGGGAACGAAGAGGATGATGAAGAGCGCTGGGTTGGACCTTTACCGGTAGAGGCAACATTGGCCAAGAAGAGGAAAGGTAGTGGCAGGGATTGGCACGGGGCGGGTGGGCTTGCTGCGCGCCCCGAGTGGGGGCGTGAAAGCCATGCCCGGAGACGCTGGTGTATTTGTGAGGTTTTGTGCCCTCGGAACCGAGGGACGTCTTCTCGCTTCAGGCCACTCTGGGCCTGTGCGTGCTCCCGAAGTAATGATTCGGACGCAGGACAGCGTCTTTTCGATCATGTCAAATACTGTCAATCACTGAGTCGTTATGTAGATGCTAATGCTTATTTATGCCAGGCTGTCTATGTTCTTGGCACCGCTCCTGTAGTCCCTGTATACAGCGGCCCTAGGAGGCTGGATCTGTAACTCCGGTTAGGAGCTGTGGAAGGGAGTTCTGGGTCTCTTAGAGGCGTTCAGCTCCGGAGCGGTGTCAGGTATGGGGACGCGAGGCGGGGGTATTTAGAATCATCAAGTGGACGTAGGCAAAGATCGGTTCAACCCTGACTCTTCAACTAATGAGTTTTGTGATCCAGGGGTAAAAGTTTCCCGGATCACATATTTTCATCTAAAACACGAGGTCTGTGATTTTCAAACCTTACTCCTTACATACCAGGACATGAAGCATTTTGCTATTAAGGTGGAACAGTGAGAAAATGGTATCAAACAAAACAAGTGAGTAAAGGAATAGATTGCATTTTCTTTTCCTTCAAGTTCTATGAAATGTTTCCTTAAACGGGCAAGGCCATAAAATGTGATCTTTTAAGAATTCAAATCTGACTTGATCACTTCCCTTACTTAACTCTTTCATTATTTCTCATTATTGTCAAAATAAAGTCCAAACTCCCTATGATGGCTTACAAGGCCTTTCACGATAGCTCCCTCTCTCCTAATCTGGACAGCGTATTTCCATAATAACCCCTTGTTGTTTCTCCTGTGCACGTGGGTGGGCCATACTCTTTCTCCACTGGATGGCTGTTGGGGTATCTTGGTGTCTGTCTCTACCTGGAATATTTACCTTCACCCCTTTGACTTGGCTAACTTTTTGTTGTTGTTGTTCAACCCTTTGCACTCAGCTCAGATATCACCACCTCGGGGAAGCCTGTGACTTCACCAGTCTGGGCTGGGTTTCTTTTTTTTTTTTTTAATATATTTTATTGATTTTTTACAGAGAGGAAGGGAGAGAGATAGAGAGTTAGAAACATCGATCAGCTGCCTCCTGCACATCTCCTACTGGGGATGTGCCCGCAACCCAGGTACATGCCCTTGACCGGAATCGAACCTGTGACCTTTCAGTCCGCAGGCCGACGCTCTATCCACTGAGCCAAACCGGTTTCGGCTGGGCTGGGTTTCTAAAGCACATTGCTAATAACTCTGAGATCATGTTTACCACAGGTAGTCTTCAAATTTTATGTATCTGAATTTTGAAAAAGCTTTTTTTTTTTAATCCTCACCCTAGAATATTTCCCATTGATTTTTAGAAAGAGTGGAAGAGATAGGGAAAGGGAAAGGCAGAGAGAAAATACCGATGTGAGAGAAACACATCGGTTGGTTGCCTCCTTGCATGTGCTCTGGCCAAGGGCACAAATCACCGAGGTGTGTACTTTGTGCCCTTGACCAGCATCCTTTCCGATGCTTTATCCACTGAACCAACCGACTAGGGCAAAAAAGCTATTTTTTTTAACCTTGTACATTGACACCCTTAAAGTGTTATTACCTTTTTTTTTTTAATTGCCACGGCTTCCAGATAAATGTTTCTGTAATAACTTTTCCTCATTGCACGTTTTACATTTTGAAATTGTATATTTATTCATGTGATTGTCTGATTAATGTTTCTCTCCACTGCTAAGACTAAACATATAAGAGCAAGTCTTGCTGCATAGCTTTGCATATAGCAGGTACTCAATAAGTATTTACTGAATGAATAAATGTTACAGTATTTATGCTCTTACTTATTTTATTGAATTAGAATATTCTTGCATATCCTTTTTTATAGAAAATAAGTGTGTGTGGGGGGGATCCAAAAATATCAAAGTGCTGATATTATTATTAGGAGACAATGATCTTAGAAACTTAAAACAATTGAGACAGATACGGAAATTATTAGGTGTGAAAATCTACACCCTTAATTAGATGCTTATTGTATTTAAGTCACTCCATAGTGTATTCAGTTTGAAAAAAATTGAAATTTCAAAGATGTATGAAATGTTTTAAAAAATCATTGAAGCCCTGGCTGGTGTGTGCAGTGGTTAGAGCATGCGCCCCAAGTGCCAAAGGGAGGCAACCAAGATGTTTCTCTGTCTCTTCCTCCCTCCCTCCCATCCCACTGCCTTCTACTCTCTAAAAATCAATGGAAAAAAATATACTTGGGTAAGGATTAACAGCAACAACAAAAATATCATTGAAGATTTTGTCTGAAAGTACAGGAGTTGAATAATATATTTAACCTTCTAGAAATGGAACCATTTCCTTTAACACATTGTTTGGATATTGGACTTTTGAATACATTTTCAGAAAGACATTATAAATGACTAGAGGCCTGGTGCACGAAATTTGTGCAAGAGTAGGCCTTCCTTCCCCCGTCTGCTGGCACCAGCTTCCCTCTGGCACCTGGGACCCAGGCTTCCCTTGCAGCCACGGCTTTGTCCAGAAGTTCATCCGCTCTAATTAGCATATTAGGCTTTTATTATTATAGATTGTATGGCACTACCTTTAATTAAACTAATGGATTCTCAAGGACAGAACTATGTGTTACTCTTCCTTATTCCATGTGCCTTGGAATTTATTTTCAATAAATATCTATTCAATAAGTGAACTAACTGGCAGCAAAAGGCATGTGTATCAGATAGGATCAAATTTAACTCCATATTATAGAAAACAACACAATAACATTGAAAAGATAAAGATATACTTCTCTCATATGTAAAAGAAGTCCCAAAGTAGATAGTCTAGGATTGGTAGGGAGGCTCCAAAGGAACCTAGGCTTTTTCCAGTGTTCTGCCCCAGCATCACTAGGGAATGGCCCTCACCTTTGTCCTGAGTGGTTATTAGAATTACGGTGCTCATGTCCCAGTTCCAAGCTGTAGGACTGAGGAAGAGAAGAAGGGTACACCTTTTGAAGAAGAATTCTTGACTGTGACACAACATTTCCACTTTTATTTCATTGCTACAAGGTTACACCTAACTGCAGGAGAAGGTGAGAAAGGTTATCTTATAGCTGGATGTCAGTATGCTCATATAAAAATGGGGATTTTGTTACTAAAAATGATGGGAAAAGTAATCTATTGGACACAGCTTTGAGTCTGATATACAGTAGTTATAAAAAAAACTGAAATAGCTCATTTTACAACTCATTGGCAACTTTGTGGACATTTTTGGGTAAATAAAATAGTCATTGGATTATTTTGTTAGGTACACATATAATATCTTTTACCTGTGAAATTGTTTATGGCTCATATAATGAAATGAATATTTTCTCACATCATCACTCTTAAAAATGTTTTGCCTCTAGAAAGTGCTTTGGAAGCATTCAACTGGATACTCTCTAGGGCAGTGTTCTCAACCTTCCTAATGCCGCGACCCTTTAATACAGTTCCTCATGTTGTGGTGACCCCCAATTTCATTGTTACAAATTGAACATAATTAAAGCATAGTGATTAATCACAAAAACAATATGTAATGATGTATGTGTTTTCCGATGGTCATAGGCGACCCCTGTGAAAGGGTCATTCGACCCCAAAGGGGTCGTGACCCACAGGTTGAGATCCGCTGCTCTAGGGTTTTCTCAACTCTAAAAAAACCAGTATATTGCTTCAAAGAGGATTAGTGCCTTAAAGATAAACTGAGACATCTTATAGATGGCTACTGGCCTCTTATTATTTAAATTAGCACTAATAATTGGATCTATGTGGTTAGAAAAATGGTTGTGGTATTTTCATGAAGCTTTTTAAGGTTTTTGGTTTTGTTTTTGAATGAAACCTTCATATTAAGCCAGTCAGTCATTCAGTGCCTAAGTTTTGGGGACAGTTAAGTATGTATGTATTACCTAAGAACTTGTGACTGGCTAAATATTTGCTGTTCAATATTATGCAATAATAAAAGTTACAACTGACATGAGACACTGGATTTTTGTTTTTATTACATGTGGAATAGACAGAAATTCAAGAAAATCTAGATGAAAAGACAACATGGAATTTAGAAATTACAAAATAGTATTGAGTTCCAGTTGTTAAAAATAATTTTTTTTCTCAGTTCTAGAGTTTGAAAGAGTCTATCTTGATAATCTCCCCAGTGCATCTATGTACGAGCGCAGTTACATGCATAGAGATGTTATTACCCATGTAGTGTGCACCAAGTAAGTGTATCATATCTTCTTACATTTTCTGAAAAGATTTTTTTTTAATGCTTCAATTTTGACATGAACTAATAGAAGAAACTTTAGGATATTATGGACTTCTGTTTAATTTTATAGGTTCAGTGGAAGTTTAAGTTAAAGGCTGACATGTTCTTTCCTATATCACACAAGGAATGAATCCTCTAAGACATAACTCCTCAGTTTGTGTGCATGTCTTTTGGAAATAAATGCCAAAAGAAGATGAGGTTTCCAGAAGAAGAGTATATTAGTTAAACAGATGGAGTAATTGGTAGCTGGCCCCGTCAGTACTAATGGGGAAAATGATGAGAACTAAGACAACCTGGAAATGTCACAGGGCCTTCAAAATAAATGAGTGGGATTTGAAGAATAATCATCATAATAGTAATATTCTACTGTATGTTAAGTGCATATTATACCCAATACTGTTCTAAAGCTTTTTCATAAATTATCTCGTTCATCTTAAGAACAGTCTAATGAGGTAGTAATATAATCTACATTTTATAGGTGAGGAAAATGGCAGATGAGGCTGGAGCAAAAAAATGCAAGGATTAAGTCTTAGAGAGTTTTCTATTCCTTGTATGGATTTTGAGCCTGTAATCAGGAGAGTAACATCAGGTTTGTTTTTTTTTAAGACCACTCTGGCTGTGGTGAGATTCATGGACTTAAATAGGGCCGGAATGGATATAGTAAGAGCAGTTAAGAGACCAGTATAGAAATCTAGATGAGATATAATGGTGACGTGGATGATATTGGCTGTGATTATGGAAAGAAGTAGATGAATTACTTTGCTCTTTGGATCAGTCTATTCTTAATCTCTTGGAAGCCATTTAAGATATACATATAATTAAAATATTATTTTAATTGTGGTAATATAAAATATTCTTATTTTTTCTTTATAGAATAATTCTGACAGACATTAGCACTTTTCCCAATCCAAAGTTATCACTGTATAAAGCAGTATGTTGGACTAGAATTGCTATCACTCTCTTCTCAAGTTTTTCTGTTATTGTTAATCCTTACCCGAGGATATTTTTCCCATTAAGTTTTTAGAGTGGAAGAAAGAAAGGGATGAGGAGAGAGAAACATTGATGTGAGAGACACATTGACTGGTTGCCTCCCACATGTGCCCCAACCAGGCCAGGGATCGCACCTGAAATACAGGTACATGCCCTTGATTGGGAATCAAACCCGTGACACCTCGGTGCTCGGGCTGACGTTCTATTCACTGAGCGACACTGTCAAGGCTCCTCAAGATTTTTGTTTTGGTGGGTTTTTTTAGCCCAAAACAGCAGGGTATAATAGAAAGATTATAGAATTGAAGTTAGGCAGATCTGACATTGAATGCCGCTCTTCAGTTGTGGACCTAGGAAAAATACATTTAACATTTCAAAACTATTTTCTAATTCATAAAATGATGATAAAAAATACCTACACTAATAGAGTTCCTGTAAAGAGTAAATAAGGTAATGTGTGTAAAGTACCTGGCACATACTGGGTTCAATAAATGGTTTTTATTTTTATACACCTGCAGACAAGATTATTCTGTACAAAATATTTTTCCCCCCTAACTATATTTTTGGTAATTTAAACAACCAAAATACCTTGCATAGAATACAAACAAACTTATGTTGAATTTTGCTGTATATGAAAGTAATATGTGGAGATTTAATTTATGAACTTCTGAAAAATAGAACCTTTTCCCTGTGAAAAGGTAGCCTGTAGGGTAATTTTAACATTAAAATACTCTTAAGGTCTAGTGATTCTTAGTGAGATTTCTCTATTTTTTTAATGTCAAGTCCCAACTCAATTCTGAGCCTAGGTCTTAAGATGAAAATTAGTTATGATATCCAGAAAAGAACTTCAAAATTTGCAATGTTCTATCTATCCTAATATAGTGGCCAGCATAAAGGAAGATTTTTTTGAAAACCTATTCTGAAAGAGTCAGAGATTCTCAGTGAATGATTGGCTTGGGGATATTGAATGATTCATAGATTTGTTTTAGATGTTAACTTTTATAATTTCATATGTGCAGGACAGACTTTATTATCACTGCCAGTCATGATGGACATGTTAAGTTCTGGAAAAAGGTAGAAGAAGGAATTGAATTTGTTAAACATTTTCGAAGTCACCTGGGTAAGAATTTCACCTTTTCTTTTTTTTGGCTCTCTTAAACTGTACTAACGTGTGTGTGTGTGTGTGTGTGTGTGTGTGTGTGTTTTAAGTTCCAAATATACTTATTATTAAATATAAAGATGTTAGCTCTGTAAAGTTTCTTTTAAACTGATTTTTTTCCTTTGAATTGTGTGCATTTATGTCATTGGTATTTAATGTTTTAATTTTATTTATTTAAACAGGAGTTATTGAAAGTATTGCAGTTAGCTCTGAGGGAGCATTGTTTTGTTCTGTGGGTGATGATAAAGCAATGAAGGTGTTTGATGTAGTGAACTTTGACATGATCAATATGCTGAAGCTTGGGTGAGTCTTTTTTAAATTACATATTTTTTCACTTAGTGAACTAATTTTTAAAAAAAATATATTTTTATTGATTTCAGAAAGGAAGGGAGAGGGAGGGAGAGATAGAAATATCAATGACGAGAGAGAATCATTGATTGGCTGCCTCCTGCGCAACCCCTGTAGAACCCCCAACCTGGGCATGTGCCTGACCCGGAATTGAACCAGGTCCTCTGGGTTCATAGGTTGACGCTCAACCACTGAGCCACACCAGCAGGGCATGAAATAATTTTTAAACTAAACTTCACCCATAGGTATTTCTAAACAGAATATGTTACCATTCCATTAAAAAATGTACCTTTGGATTTCGCTTGGGAAATGGTTCCTTGTTATGATGCTATTTGGAGGCTTCTGCTGTGGTTTTTGTCATAATCACTGCAGAAATTTCCAAACAGCATCATAACAAGAATTCATTATATCTATTTAACACTGCTTAATAACAAGGGTCCATCATGTCTAATTTATTGGCATTTAGAGTTAAACTTGTGGTATTGTTCTTAGAAAGCTAATGCACATTTTTAGAATAGAAGTTAATTGTTGATGATTTTAAACTTTGAAGTATATTGATACCCAAACTTTGTAGTTAAACTGTACAGTAATGACACTAATACTTTGCTTCAAGCATGTCTTTTTAAAGATAACACACACCTGCATTTATATACACCTAAATGAATGTTACCTTGAAAGTTGTCAGAAACAGTTTTGAGACATGTTTTTGTCTGCTCAGACTGCCACAACAAAAGACCAAAGATTGGGTGGCATAAACAGAAATTTATTTTCTCACAATTCTGGAGACTGGAAAGTCCAAAGTCAAGGTTGCAGCAGGGTTTGGTTTCTGGTGTGAATTCTCTTCTGTGTTTCACGTTGTATTTTCATTGGGAACGGGATGAAAGGAGGAATGATATCTCCCTCTTCTTTTTAGAAGGCCACAGGCCTATGGGGGTAGGGCCCCACCCATAAGGCCTCATTTAAACTTAATTACCTCCTAAAGACCCTGTGGCCACATACAATTACATTAGGGGTTAGAGTTTCATTATATGAATTGGGATGGAGAAAAACAGTAGTTCAATACAGAGCAGGACTCCTTTTGGAATTTCCTATTAAACCAGTGTACAAGCCACTAAAGGAAATCAGTCTCATTTATGGTCAGAACTTATTTTTTTACTACAAATAGAAACACCTATTGATCATCTGGCTTACTCCCCAGCTTTGTTTCCCCATGTTAGCTATTTTTAAAAATCAAATCTATTCATAAATGTTGAACATTTGCCACCTTTGCAAATACTGACAGAATATTTTTTTAGGCTTTGATAGAAATTCTAAGAGAAGAATCCCAAAAATGTTTTGAGCATCAGCACCATCATTAGAATAACTGTACCTTCTCAGACTGATTACTTTGAAGGAGACAACACTCATTTGAGTGTAAAAGTTTGGTGTGTTCATTAACTCTGTCTCATTTTTTTATACTCTGCTCATCAGGGAGCATGTTCAAAGCTTATAGTTATAATATCAAGTTACCAATTATGAGAGTGTGATAAAAGCATGATTTTCTTTTGAACATAGTCATAACTAAAATATTTTGAGTTTTAATATTTCAAGGATGGATTTATAACATACTGTTCATGCTAATGTACTTAAGAGTAAGTTATATATAGACTGAGATCAGAGATTCAAAAAGCATTGCCCCAAACTATCTTAAGCCCTAGGTCTAGTTAGGTTTCCTTTTCCACTCGAGAGAAGTGAATGGTCTGCTATAGCAGTTCTCTTCTAGTAGATTGTAGACCTTCAGAAGTTATTATCTATGCACTGATGAGGTCAGAATGAGAAAAATCAGTAACTGTCCTTAGTTGTTCCTCCCCATTCTGTAATTCTCTGCCTTTTTTGAGCAAGGAATCCAAAACTAGCTAAATCACTGGTCACTGGCCAGGACATATTTTGGTGGTAGGAGTAGGAAGGGATGCTTATTTCTTGTATTGACCTCCTTATTCTCTCAATTCTTTATTATTTCAGCTATTTTCCTGGACAGTGTGAATGGATCTATTGCCCAGGGGATGCCATATCATCAGTTGCTGCTTCTGAGAAGAGTACAGGAAAAATTTTTATTTATGATGGTCGAGGAGATAACCAGCCACTTCATGTTTTTGACAAACTCCATACGTCACCTCTTACTCAAATACGGCTAAACCCAGTTTACAAAGCAGTAGTGTCTTCCGACAAATCTGGAATGATTGAATACTGGACTGGGCCACCCCATGAATATAAATTCCCAAAAAATGTGAACTGGGAATATAAAACTGACACCGATTTATATGAATTTGCCAAGTGCAAGGCTTATCCAACCAGCATATGTTTTTCACCTGATGGGAAGAAAATAGCTACAATTGGTTCTGATAGAAAAGTTAGGATTTTCAGGTTTTTAACTGGAAAACTCATGAGAGTCTTTGATGAATCACTAAGTGTAAGTGCAATTTAAATTTAATATATATATATTTTTTTCTTTCTTTTTTTCAGAAAATGTCTTTGTTTTGTGCCATTTAAAAGATTTTTTCAGGATATTAAATTGATAACTAGTTATTTTCTCTTGGCACATTATAATATTCAATTGCCTGCTGTCTTGTATTGTTGCTCTTCAAAACTCTCTTCCCTAGGTTTATTTCTTCTGAGCCAATGATCCTTCTAGTATGTATCTGTTTTTTTCTGTTTTGTTTTGTTTGCAAGCTCATTCTTTTAAGATCTTCAGAATTCATTCTAAGCCACCCTCTCTTCCCACTCTGTTCACTCTTGTCTGTCTATGACTATTCCCAAATTTATTTCTCCACGTTTCTATTATGAACAGACATGGTACTGTCCTTTCTTTTTTTTCTATCTTCATGAATGGCATCAATATCCATTAATTGCACAAGCCAGAAACCTGAGTCATCCTTAACTCTCTTCCTTACCCCTCTATTTAATTTGTATCATGAGTCCTGACAATTTTACTTTCTAAATATACTTTAAATCCATCCATTTCCTTTCAGCACACCTATCACTACCATAATTCATGATCTGGCTTATAACATGATCTGCTAGTATCTAATCTGTTATCCATGCTACATGTAGAGTATTTTTTAAAAGGACATGTTTGATCATGTCTTCCTTTGAACCTTTCAGTTACTTCCTGTTGTTCTTAGGATCAAGACCAAAATAATGGCCCTAACTGGTTTGGCTCAGTGGATAGAGTGTTGGCCTGTGGACTGAAAGGTCCCAGGTTCGATTCTGGTCAAGGGCATGTACCTTGGTTGTGGGCACATCCTCAGTAGGAGGTATGCAGGAGAACCATCTAATGGATGTTTCTCTCTCATCGATGTTTCTAACTCTCTATTCCTCTCCCTTCCTCTCTGTAAAATATCAATAAAATATATTAAAAAAAGAAAAAAAAAAGAAAAAGACCAAAATAATGGCCTGCCATGTTGTAGTGTCTGCCTACTATTACAACCTAGTGCAGGGGTGGGCAACCTTTTTGTGAGTGCGTGCCAAAACCAGCAAAATCTCTGACTCAAAATTCTTCTGCATGCCACCCCTAATTTTTTGAGAACATGTTATGCCTACTTGATATCTCTTAAGGTGTACGTATGTGAAGAACCTTGAAGAAATAATAAAATTCAATCGAGCGACAAAAACACAGTATATGATGATGAAAAATAATTTATTTTTTAATGTATACATGTACACTGATAGTCCGACAGAAAACTTTATGACTCCGTTTGATATTATCAGTGGGACTTTTGCTGCTGCATCACTGATGACAGAATTTTTACATTAGGTTTATATTTCGTGACCTTCAGAGATATGCACGAGCTACTACTTTCATCCGCCAGGCTACTCCAATTACGAGACTTAACAAAATTCATCACTGAGAACAAAGATTGACAATTGTAAATGGAAGATTATAAGAGAGGGTTTCGTGTGCCTGCAAAGGTTACTGGCGTCCCATGTTTGGCACGCATGCCAGGGGTTGCCCACCCCTGGCCTAGTGTAACTCACCTTTCTCCCTGCCTTTTACTCTAGCCAGTTAGGCCTTGCTTCAGTTTCTTGAACATTCTGTTCCTTCTACCTGGAGTTACCTCTCCCTCCATCTCTCCCATTACCTGTTGAACTTGTTCTTCAAATCTCAGCGAAAGGGTCTCTTCCTCTGGTAGTTTTTCACTATTCATCCAGTCTAGGACAACTTTTTTTATGTGACTTTATATTACTATTGTCTTAGAAAGCATTTTGTATGATCTGATTATTTGATTCATGTATATCAACCTCCAATAGACTAAACTTTATACAATCTATGGTCCTGTATCTGTTTTGGCTCATGATTGTATCTCCAGCATTAAGAATAGTACCTGACACATAATTACTGCTAACAAGAATTTGTTAGAGTGTATCATTATAGAATAAGAGTATATCCATGCAGAGTTAACTAGTTTTTCTGGAAATTGGGTCTCATCAGCTGTTTTCATCATGTAGTTCTTTAACAGCTAGTGGTAAGTCTATGTTGAACCTTTGTAGCAGTAATGTTTACTATATGACAGTGTTGATTCCAGTCTCAGTAGTAACCAATGTACATTATATTCCCTGCATTAAGCTCTTCAAAAATTCTATCACTCTTATTAGTGGCACTGTTGTTTGGTGGCAAGTGTTAAATATAATTTGCAAAACTCTACCAACTTGCAGCTCTTCTAAGCTTTCTTAGGAGAAGAAATATTCAAATCCTAGTTTCTGGATATAAATCTCTTTAACATACATACTCTGAGCTGTTCAGTCCCCTCTATTTCTTCATTATTGTCTTCAACATTTGTTGAAGTGATAGAACTAAAGTATCAAGAGCTCAGTATTAAAACCTATGTCAGGAGTTGATTCAGAATGAGAGAGTTTGAAAAAAAAAGAAAAAGGCAAATGCCATTTAAATTCATTCCAAAGCTATTAACAAGTAAGTCACTGGGTTTTCACAGTTCCATGTCACAGGGGGAAGTTTCTAACCAGTAAGAGTCCTAGTTTAAAAGACAAGAAATTTGATTGGATGGTGTGAAGTATCTTTTGGCATTTATTAGCCAGAATCGCTGCATATGGCCACACAGTTGTGTATCACAGAGGCCCTGCTAGTAAGGCTAGAATTCTGTAGCAGGATTCTACTTATCAGGTTAGATTAACGTAAAATAAATGTATGGCTCAGTGGTTGAGTGTCAGCCTATGAACTAGGAGGTCAAGGTTCGATTCCTGGTCAGAGCACATGCCCAAATTGCTGGCTTGATCCCCAGTAAGGGGCATGCAGGAGGCAGCCAATTATTCTCTGTCGACATTGATGTTTCTATCTCTCCGTCTCCTTTCCTCTCTGAAATCACTGGCAGATGGCCATCTACAAACTTTGTCTTGAAACTGAATCCTCTCTCTTACATCTAAGCTGTTTCTGACATATGAATATAAGAATCAATAACATATATTAGTCTCACAGATTGGAGAAAAGGAACTATGACTAGGCTTTTTAACTGGTCTATAAGACCATTCCCTAACACACATACCTCCTTTTGATTTTTGGAGCATATTGTTCATTCCATATATAAAAAACTGGAGATTTCTAGTTAACACAGACATGAAAAAAGAAGGAGGTGGAACATAAGTCTGGCTTATTTTCATCTGCAATGGAGAACTACTTTTGAATTATGTTCTTTGATGCCCTAAATGTCTGGAAAACTAAATGTAAAGATCATATATTCTGGGAGGCCTATAGTGTCATAATAGTAATTGGATGTGACCCTTGTTTTTATTTATTAATTATCTTTTAAAAAAAAAAGGAGCCCTACCTAGTTTGGCTCAGTGGATAGAGCATCTGCCTGCGGACTGAAGGGTCCTGGATTCAATTCCCATCGGGGGCACGTGCCTGGGTTGTGGGCTTGATCCCCATAAGGGGGCATGTAGGAGGTGGCCAGTCTATATTTCTCTCTCATCATTGATGTTTCTATCTCTCTCCCTTTCCCTTCCTCTCTGAAATCAATAAAATAAAATAATTTTTTAAAAAAGTAAAACATTTCCAAACTAAAGTATACCCATAAAAATAAGCATCTATCCTACATCATATTTACTAATGATGATCTAACTATAAGTATTACTCCATGTCAAAACAACTTGAAATATTTTCTGAAATATCATGAAATTGTTACACATTAGTGAAATAGTAAGAGTTTATTCATTCAACAAGAATTGAGTGCTGCCCTAGCTGGGTGGGTCAGTTGGTTAGAGCATGATCCCCTGCACCCTGCATATGATCCCAGTTAGGTTGCACATCCTGGTTGGGGAGTGTCTCATCAATGTTTCTCTCTCTCTCTCTCTCTTTCTCCTCCTCCTCCTCCTTCTCTGTCCCCTCCTCCCCCCTCCTCCTCCTCCCTTCCCACCCTCTCTCCCCCCCAGTTCCCTTCTCTCACTCTCATTCTCCTTCCTTCTCCCTCCCTCTTCTTCTCCATCTGTCTCTAAAATCAATAAACATATCCTAGGGTGAGGATGAAGACAAAAAAATTGAGTGCTTAGTATGTCTCTTTCTCCTCCCGTTCCCTTCCTCCTCCTCCTCTCCCTCCTCCTCCTCCTCTCCCTCTTCCACCTCCTCCTCCTCCCCCTCCATTGAGTGCTTACAGTGGTTCTCAACCTTCTGGCCCTTTAAATACAGTTCCTCATGTTGTGGCCCAACCATAAAATTATTTTCGTTGCTACTTCATAACTGTAATGTTGCTACTGTTATGAATCGTAATGTAAATATCTGATATGCAGGATGGTCTTAGGTGACCCCTGTGAAAGGGTCGTTCGACCCCTGAAGGGGTCGCGATCCACAGGTTGAGAACCGCTGGCTTAGTATGTCAGGCCCTGTGATCCTTATATAAGGACTTCATAGTCTATAGCTACATCATCTACTATAGTAGCCACTAGCCATATGTGACTCTTGAGTACTTGGTATGTGGCTTGTTCAAATTGAGATAAACTGAAAGTAAAAAATACAATTTCAAAGATTTAATATAAGAAAAAAATGTAATTTTATCTTAATTTTATTGAATTGCTTAATGTTTAAATGTTAATATTTTGGATACGTTGGGTTAAATAAAACATTAATTTTAACTTTCATTTTTGTTTATTGTAGCTACTTGAAAATTTTAAATTACTTATATGATTTGCATTATATGTCTAATAAAAACTGCTAGTCTGCAGCTTATAAATCGCAGCAGAAATATCCTATAAAGTAGTAATTACGTTGACTGTTTTTTTTATTTAATTAGAAGAACCAGTTAGTGTAAATTATTTTTTATGATTGAAATAGTGTTTAGAATCCTCCATACGAGATAACACAAATACACAAACTGTCAGTTGCTCTTAATGTATACTCTGCTTCTATTTGAATTCACATTCCCTTTATTATGTAGCTTTTTTGTTAATAAATGGGTTGTTTCCTAGATGTTTACTGAACTACAGCAAATGAGGCAACAGCTACCAGACATGGAATTTGGCCGACGAATGGCTGTAGAACGTGAGTTGGAGAAGGTGGATGCAGTGAGATTAATTAATATAGTTTTTGATGAAACTGGACATTTTGTGCTATATGGAACAATGCTGGGCATTAAAGTTATAAATGTAGAAACAAACCGGTAAGCTTTAATATGCTGTATTTTTTTAAATGCATTTATTGGGGACCATTTCCTCCTTCAGGGAAACAATGGGAGTTTTGTTTGTTCCAAGACAAGTGGAATGGTCCCAAATGTCTAAACTTAACCAAATGTTTTGACTGGATTTTTCTGTGGTCTTTCTGTTGTTTATACTCTTATGTAAAAAGTTTCCACTCATGTTTGTGAAAGAAATGGAAAGAAGATATGCATAGTTTCAGGTTGTTGTTGTTGTTTTTTTTAACAAGTTATAGTCTGTCTTTTGATTATTGATTTAAATTAGCCTGGTTCATGTTAAATGTTGCCAAATATTTTAACCACAGAATTCGGCATTACATCCTGCTAGACATAAAATCAGAACTTAAAATGCATGAAACCACAATAAGCCTTTTGTGCAAACAGTCCATTTGGTTTTAGTTCAGAAAGCTACAATCAGATACTATCACTGAAGGTAAATAAAAAGAACTTAAAAGTTTATTTTAAGGAGAAAAAAATCTTATGCTGTACATTCTCACATATAAACAAATTTATATTTAGTTCTTAGCAATACAAAAATCTTTGAAGGTTTGCACATAGACTAAAATAATGGGGATAGGTTAAAACTATATGATTGAACAATTGCAATTTTTTTTTACCTGAAAATTATAGCTCCCTACCAATTTTAAATAGCTTTTTTTGGTGGTGAGGTGGGTAAAGAAAAACTTTTTAAAAATCTTTCACTATTTTGTACAAAGATCAAGGATAGCTGATTCCCAGCTTTTATCTGTAAAGTTGTTATGATTGGAATTAACTCTGAAAATTTTATTGTATAAAATGTGTTTTCCAGGTGTGTGCGGATCTTAGGCAAGCAAGAAAATATTAGGGTGATGCAATTGGCTTTGTTCCAGGGAATAGCCAAAAAACATCGTGCTGCAACTACTATAGAAATGAAAGCTTCTGAAAACCCCGTTCTTCAGAATATTCAAGCTGACCCAACAATAGTCTGTACGTCTTTCAAAAAGAATAGATTTTATATGGTATGTGGAAGTACTAAGAGATGGACCTAAATGTTTCTTCCAGTTTGGTTGGAGTTTTCTTTTCTTGGCTTGTGCTTTCAACTGAAGAGAATGTTGGCAATAATTGGCTTTCTAAACAACCAGAATACTATCTTTTTTTTTTTTTTTTTTTTTTTTTTTAAATATATTTTATTGATTTTTTACAGAGAGGAAGGGAGAGAGATAGAGAGTTAGAAACATCGATGAGAGAGAATCATCGATCAGCTGCCTCCTGCACATCTCCTACTGGGGATATGCCCGCAACCCAGGTACATGCCCTTGACCGGAATCGAACCTGGGACCTCTCATTCCGCAGGCCGACGCTCTATCCACTGAGCCAAACCGGTTTCGGCCAGAATACTATCTTATAACATTAATATTTTAGAATTTTTAAGTAGGACTTGATTGTAAGTATTTCTGTACAGGTTTCTATTCTGTTTTGAAAATTTTTCAACCTGGCTTTTATAACTATTTGTGTTGTCTAAGATAATAGGAAGTAAGTGGTTATGGTAATAATCGAAGCCAAAATAGTCTTTACTATGGGGTTTTAAAAATTATTCTGTGTTTTTATTATTTTACAATTTTTTCTCTTGAACATAATTTATTTCCCCTGAACTTGCACATTTTCTTCTCTAAGCACATTTTTAACCATTTGACTCCTTTGTAATGTTGCTAACTTTAAAACTGTGTATTCCTGAGAAATCTATTTTCCTAGTGAGTTAAAAGTACTTTACATGTTAATTAAAATTGGGCTCAAAATCAAACTACGAAGCTATCTAGAAGTAGCACTGTTGGAACTGTTCAACCAAACAGAAAAATCTAAAGTATAGAGACCTCCTGTCCTTGATTTCTCTCCTTCACACTGCAGTCAGAGACATTCTGAGACCCAAATGTGATTACAGCAGGTCCTCAAATATTGTCATTTCCTTTTAACATTTGGGGGGGGGGGGGCTAGAATTGATTCTCGGCTGGAACCACTGTCAGTGTGGAGTTTGCACATTCTTCCCATGTCTGTGTGGGTTTTCTTTGGGTACTCGTTTCCTCTCACATCACAGAGATGTGCACATTAGTTAATTGCATGTCTGAATTGTCCCAGTCTGAGTGAGTGTAGGTGTGTGTGAGCGTGTCCTTCATGGAACAGGGTCCTGTCCAGGGTTGATTCCCGCCTTGAGCCCTGGACTGCAGGGATAGGCTCCAGCCATGCATCACCCTGAATTGGAATAAGCAGGTTGTGAAATAATTATCTAACTGGTTCTTATTAATCTTTCTTTAATATATGTATAGCTCACATTTATTTCAATGTTTCATCTCATTGTTTAATATTAGAAGTGTTTTGGATCTTTATTTAGAAGTTGGGGTGATGTTTTTGTGATCAGAAGTAATACCATAGGAACTTAACTCATTTATATCAATTAGTCTGTGGTAAAATTGATTTTGTTATACATTGTTTTGACTAAAGTCACATTTCCAAGAACCTATCGATGGCATTGAGGACTTACTATATTTCTCTGCCTAACTCCCCAGCTGCCTGTATTAGCTGGCCTCCTACCTTAATATTCTTTATTTTTAGGTCATTTGCTACTTTAACCACACGGAACTTGATCTCATTTGTGATAAGTTGGGTTATTCTTTTATTTTCTTTTTCTTTATTGATTAAGGTATTACATATGTGTCCTTACCCCCCAGTGCCCCCCCACCCCACCCCCATTCATGTCTTCACCCCCCACCTCCTAGTGTCTGTGTCCATTGGTTATGCTTATATGCATGCATACAAGTCCTTTGGTTGATCCCTCCCCCTTCCCTTCTCCTTCCCCCTGCCTTCCCACTGAGGTTTGATGGTCTGACCAATGATTATCTGTCTCTGGATCTGTTTTTGTTTATCATTGTATGTTCATTATATTCCACAAATGAGTGAGATCATGTGATATTTATCTTTCTCTGACTTATTTTGCTTAGCATAATGCTCTCCAGGTCCATCCATACTGTTGCAAATGGTAGGAGTTCCTTTCTTTTTACAGCAGCGTAGTATTCCATTGTGTAAATGTATCACAGTTTTCTAATCCACTCATCTGCTGATGGGTACTTAGGCTGTTTCCAAATCTTAGCTATTGTAAATTGTGCTGCTATGAACATAGGGATGCATATATCCTTTCTGATTGGTGTTTCTGGTTTCTTGGGATATAGTCCTAGAAGTGCGATTACTGGGTCAAATGGGAGTTTCATTTTTAGTTTTTTGAGGCAACTCCATACTGTTCTCCACAGTGGCTGCACCAGTCTGCATTCCCACCAGCAGTGCAGGAGGGTTCCTTTTTCTCCGCATCCTCGCCAGCACTTGTCGTTTGTTGACTTGTTGATAATAGCCATTCTGACAGGTGTGAGATGGTACCTCATTGTCGTTTTGATTTGCATTTCTCGGATGATTAGTGACTTTGAGCATGTTTTCTTATGTATCTTGGCCTTTTGTATGATTATTCTTTTTTACATCTAAGCATTTGCACATGCTATTCCTTTTGTCAGCTACACATACTAGTAAACCACCCAACTCCTACACATCAGATCTCAGCTTGGAAGCCTTCTCTGACATCAAGTCTAGATTAGGTGTGCCTGGTTGTGTTGGTGTCACACTTTTGGAGTAATTTGCTGGTATTTTTGTTTTTGGTTTCTGATACTGTCATCTCCTCTTCATGATAATATAAAATCTGTAAACATAGGCACTACTTTTTTTTTTTCACTATTAAATCCACAAAGTTTGGTAAAGTGTTTGGCCCATTATAGTATATTCATTTATTCATCTGACATATTATAAGCATCTGTGATGCTATTAAGGTTACCAGCATTTGGTACATGTAAGAAATAGCATTTCCCTACCCTGACCAAGCTTTTAACCTAGAATGGGTACATTCTTTTAAGGTGAGAATTTTCTTATAACTTCCAAAGTCATTGCTAAAATTTTATCAATATATGTTAAAGGAAAATAATTTTTCTTGTTTTTACCTGTAATTTAACTTTTTGAAGGTACAAATTAATCACAAAATATAGTTCTTGATATGCACTAAAAACATAATTTTCCAACCACTTTATTTAAAAACTAAGTAATAAGTTTTCTTTTTCTTTCCCAAAAATTTACTTTTATGTTGATTAAACCACAGATTTTCTCATAAACTTGGAATAGAAAAACAAAATAAGTCCCTCACAGTGTGTCTTTATACAGGTAACATTTCATGAATTATCTTTGAGGTTTATTAGATGTACATATTCTTAAGCAAAATTAAAATGGTCTGTGTACATTTCTATTACCTTTTAAATCCAATATCATGAAATAAAAGTAAAATTTTATAAAATTTGAACTTTAGTAGTTTCATATGTGAGCTAAGTCAAGATAACTTTAAAGATTCATATAAATAGTACAACAGACTTGCCATTCTCCTTTGAAAACTGGAGAATAATATGTGAAGGCAATCGCATCGTAACTTGGTTGTTTATTTGGAATCTATCCAAGTGGACCAAGGAATGCTATTAGGCAAGACAGGGCCTGGGCACAAGCTTTACCTTCCTGCAACTCAGTTGGCATTAGGTAGCACTTTCTTCTTCCTGAGAGTCAAAAGAAACAGGCCTTGAGAAATCCAGAGTTTTAACAACTGAAAGGTTTTTCTCAATTCTCTTTATACCCTGAGAATCCTGAGATTTCTGCAACTTCACTCAAAATTTACATTCTTTCTCCCAGGCTTCAGGGTTTAGGTATATCAGATGGGGCTCTGCAAAAAAAAGAAGTCAAGATTCACTACTGATTTGTCTGTGAATCCTCATCCTACCTTGCCCAAGTCTTGTTCATAGTAATAACAAGTGTTAATATATACACAGTTCTCTCTGTACGGTAAGCACTATTCTCTAAGCAGTTTGCATCCCCCTTCATTTAATCTCGTAACAGGTACCATTTGGGGTAGTTCTTATTATTCCCATTTATGAATGAGGAAATGTAAGAAGTGAATTTACTTACCCAAAGTCACATAACTCGTAAATGACAGAGCTGGAATTCAAACCCAGGGTTTCTAGTGAAAAGCAGGCAACAGGTGGCAGGTTAGGACATGATATAAGTATAAAAATAATTTAACTGCCTTACACACCCTTTGATAGGAAGTCATTCCTGAAATAAGGATTTATTCTGATGTGAATTCATACCTTCCTCAAATATTTCACTAGAAATTAAATTTGCTTGTTCATAAACTTTAACCAGATGAAAATTTTAATTCATTTACTCACTTTTTACTGTCCTCCTTTAGTTTACCAAACGAGAACCAGAAGATACAAAAAGTGCAGATTCTGACCGAGATGTTTTTAATGAGAAACCTTCTAAAGAGGAAGTCATGGCAGCTACTCAGGCCGAAGGACCCAAACGAGTTTCAGATAGTGCCATTATCCACACAAGCATGGGAGACATTCACATCAAACTTTTTCCTGTTGAGTATGTATTGTTTTTGTTGTGTTAACCACCATTTTAAATGTGTATATTTGAAGAAACTGTGCAACTTAAAATTTTTGTTATTTTGACTTAAGGAATTTTGCAGAATTGAAATGTTTGATAGAACATCAACCCTGAAATTTCTGATTAACTGTTACTCTAGACATTTTTATACATATATACACATACTTAACAGGTTTAAAATACGAGGACAAACATCTTGGCTATGAAAGTGATGAATGAAACTAAAAAGTTATGCAAATGTATATTTCTATTACCATTAACTGCACATCCCAACTATAAGATTTGTGGCTCGCTTATTATAACTGGTTTTCCTCTCAAAGCAATCTCTTAAGGGGAGAATACTTATTTTTCCTTCCTGACATTGCTAGACATATACTTCCTCTTTCTTAGACTCAGTAGCTGTATTTTTGAAAATGAATCCCAATAAAACACATAAGGGCTTCCATTGGAAAAGGGAAAATAGTATTCTGGACATTTTTAAAAGTTTGCAAAATGAGCATGCAATACCAAATACAGTAGTGTCTCTGGCTAGTCTTGATGCAAAAGGTGACATCTTTACAACTGATTTATCTTCGAATCCTCATCCTACCTAGTACCTTTATTTAAAAGTACTTATTTTGAATATCAATGTTTTATCATGCCATACCTTGGTACTGAACAAAGAACTAGCTGGTTTGGCTCAGCGGATAGAGCATTGGCCTGCGGACCAAAGGGTCCCGGGGTCAATTCTGGTCAAGGGCACATTCCTTGGTTGCAGACTCCTCCCCAGCCCGGGCCCTGGTCAGGGCTCATGCAGGAGGTAACCAGTCGATGTGTTTCTCTCACATCAATTTCTCTCCATCTTTCCCTCTCTCTTCCACTCTCCCTAAAAATCAATGGAAAATATCCTTGGGTGAGGATTAACAAAAGAGAAAAAAGATGAACTAGGTATGTAGACTCCTGGATCATCTCATTTCAAGTATTTAGAACCCATGTACCCATTAAGCCTGTTGCTCCCTGATGTACTTCATGTAGGATTCTCTTGATTTTCCCCTCCAACCCCAGCTCTAAGAGTACTACAGGAAGATGATACCACATTAAATTACCCCGTGGGATTAGTTAATATTATTTAGAATGCTTCATACTCAGTGTGTCTGATTATCACTTAAAGTTGATTAAATTTAGGAGATAGCATTTTGGTGAATAAGTCCTTGGTCAGGAATGTGTCACTGTAACCATTAATACTGTTTTTGAGAAAATTACCTTTCCTGGGAACTTAACCCATCATATATAGCAAATTGTATATATTTTAAGGTGCTATGGTTGTTGTTTTTACATTTTGGTGGTTGTTGTTAATCCTATCTAAGGATATTTTTCCGTTTATTTTTAGAGAGAGTGGTAGGGAAGGGGAGAGACAGAGGGAAACATCGATGTGAGAGAGACACATAGATTGATTGCTTCCCACTTGCCCTGACTGGGGCAGGGACTCAAGCCTGCAACTGAGGTACGTGCCCTTGACTGGAATTGAACCCAGGACCCTTCAGTGTGCCAGCCAGTGCTCTATCCACTGAGCCAAACCAGCTAAGGCTATGGTTGTATTTTTTAAACTAAATAACCTTGAAGTCTAAATATTGTTAAACTCAACTATAATAAGCAAATTGATATAAAGATACTACATTAAACAATAATATGCTATTAAACAATAATATACTACTGCTTATATGCCCTTTCAACTCTTATGTGTCATCAAGGTTAGAAGAGGTTATGAAAAAAAAGACTGTCCTTCTGAAACATTTAGATGATATTGAAAACACCATTAGGAAGCAGAACTGCAAAGAAATTGTCTTAAATACTCTGAATAAATTTCATGTTTTTAATATATGTCTTACTGTAGGTGTCCCAAGACAGTGGAAAACTTCTGTGTTCATAGCAGAAATGGTTATTATAATGGACATACTTTTCACCGTATAATTAAGGTAGGTTATGCAAATTTTATCATTTAAGGCACAACAAGAAGTTTAAACCTAAGGCATAGCATTCTCTCACACTTAGTTTATTAGAAAGGAAGAGGAAAAATAGATTATGGAAGCCAAAAGAATGGTCATGAATATCAAATCTATAAAAGGACTGGAATAGTAGCGTAATTACCATTTTAGAAACACTGCAACAATATTTTTTCAACAGCTGAAAACAAGGTCACATAATGAGTAAAGGGGTCATGCTGAGATAAAACCAATAGCCACTATTCCCTCTGCCCAGGATCTTGTTGGGCAGCATTCCATAAAACATATGTAGTTCTTGTTTACTGACAAGTCAGAAATGATAGGAGGAAAAGTCAAGCTTCAGGGTTCTGGAGGAATTAATGAAATGAAATCCAGAAAATCGAGTGGTTAGGGAAAGGTAGGTGAGAAGAATGAGGCAATTATATATTATACACAAACTAAAATTTACACTATTAATTGTAGATTATTGGGGAAGATCTAGATGTCTATAAATGAGAATACCTTTGCATTTTGTTTTAAATTTGGTAGCAGTTGAGTAGTAGAAATACATCATCCAAATTAAAGTATAACTTACTGAGTTTAATAAAATCACTTCATAAAGTGACTGTTAACCAAGTTACAATTTTACTAAATACAAAGCACTCTTTACAACCCTAACTCCAAAGCATACATATAGAAAAGAACAGTTTTGTTTTTAATAATTCTTAATTTTGAAAGTATTACATATGTTCCCCCCTTTCCCCCCATTAGTCCCCTCCAGCCCGTTTAATATATTTTTTGTGTACTTTCTGTTAAGGGCTTCATGATTCAGACTGGAGATCCAACAGGTACTGGTATGGGAGGAGAAAGCATATGGGGAGGAGAGTTTGAAGATGAATTTCATTCAACATTACGACATGACAGACCATATACACTCAGCATGGCTAATGCTGGCTCGAATACTAACGGATCTCAGTTTTTCATAACAGTAGTACCAACGGTGAGTAGAACAGCATTATCTGTAAGCCAAAGATTCATAAGTTATGATCTAAGAGTAAATTCAGTGGATGAGAGCTACATTAGTCTTTCTCAAAATGTAAATAATTTAGATAAGAAAATATAAATTTACCCAACAAATCAGAAATACTTCGTAAAACAATACTTCTGTAATTTAGGACACTTATTAAGTTTTAGTCATCTTCGCCACTGTTATTGTTTTGTACAGTTCAAAACAAATTATTTCACCTCTGGACCTGTTTCCTCATCTTTAGAATGGAGGATTAAAGTACATGAATTCCTGATTTTAAGACATTTCCCCCACACATTTTTATATCTCTAAAATCAGAATGCAACCAATAGCATTGTAGATTTGACAGAATACAGTATAAGAATATCTAGCTTTATTGCTTTGTAGTTCTACATGATTATAAAAATTATACACTTTATTTTTTGGAAATAAGCATTAAGCATTAAAGAAAAATATAACTACTATCTGCCAGACAGTCTCATGTAATATTCACAATACATCTAGTATCACTATACCCAGTTTTAAGTAATAGATGAGGAAACAAATATGACTGCCTTGCCAAAGGTCAAGTAGCAGAGCGCCAGCATTTGAGTGCCCACGTCTTTAATGCCAAAGCACATGCTGCTTAAACTATTCCAAATTGCCTTTTAAACTATGCAAAGGAACTTGCCTTTAGCAAACACATTCCAGATCCCTTTGATCCGAAAGCTGCACATATTTAAACATTATACTATGCTTTTATATTTTTCTTATAAACATGGAAATTACTCTTAAAATACTCTAAGTGAAATTACTGTAAATCTTTTTAATTACATAAAAAAGTAAAGCATAAATTTAAATTCTCTTTAATTTACTCGCCCAGAGGGTGTGAATTAAGAAACCTGGTTTACCAAGATTTTCCATTTGTCCTCCAACACAGCCTTGGCTTGATAATAAGCACACAGTATTTGGACGAGTGACTAAAGGAATGGAAGTTGTACAAAGGATCTCCAACGTCAAAGTCAATCCCAAAACAGATAAGCCCTATGAGGATGTCAGCATCATAAATATTACTGTCAAGTAAATCAGATGTATCGTTTAATGTGTAAATAAAAATACACATATAGTAAACAGGATTATTTTACATTGGGAATCTCTTAAGACTTGCTGAACATACAAATCATGTTTCAAGGATTGCGGTATTGTATTTTTATATTTTTCATTAAAGGCCATTTTTTAAAGCTTTGCTTTTTTCTTGCAACATTTCTCATTAGGTGAAAAATTGAAATGGACTAAATTCAGGCAAAATAGCACTCCTTATATGTAATTTCTCATGAGACTCAAAATCGTAGTAAATAATGAGTGGTATGCCTTTGTTCCTTAGCTTTTCAAACATGCCTGTTAATCTGCCCTCACATGTTTCTTCAGACTTACGAAGAAAGGATCTGAGCCCTAGCCAGTTTTGCTCAGTGGATAGAGCCTCGGCCTGTGGACCCAAGAGTCCTGGGTTTGATTCTGGTCAAGGGCATGTACCTTGGTTGTAGGCTCCTCCCCGGCCCGGGCCCTGGTCAGGGCTCGTGCAGGAGACAACCACTCGATGTTTCTGTCTTTCCCTCTCTCTTCAACTCTCTCTAAAAATCAATGGAATAATGTCCTCGGGTGAGGATTAAAAAAAAAAAAAAAAGGATCTGATAGTATATAATGTTTCTTTTACAAGGTTTGTGTTCCATGCCAAATAGCTTTGTCTTTTGATCATTAAGTCATAAGTAGTGGTAAGTAAAACTTCAATAAATAAGTAGGAAGTCCCTTTGGTCATATTAAGTTCCTTAATAATTATCAAATATTCTTTCAAATATAAGAATAAATGAATATATGAGTCCTTGGTTTTATAGACAGATTTACCAGTTCATTCTTTTTCTAATGCAGCTAAATAATTTTTGTCCTCATTTATACTATTTCTTTTCTTACCTTACTTATATACTATCAAAAAAATATACATTGAGTAAAAATCTTAGTATATAACGAGAGATTAATAGAAATTGTAGTAAAACAATGAGTCCAAAGTCTTATAGTGATTTCCCTTATTGTTTACTTACCCTGATAACTTCATAACTATTAAGAACTATTGCTTCTAATTTCTGGACAGACGCTTCAAGAACTTATACAAAGAACCTGTGCAATAGATCTATTTAGGGATTTCATTCGTATACTTTAAATCTTGGCTTACACTTTTCCTTCTGTTCATCAGCAGGATATTTCCTTTATTCATTTTATACCACAAACTTCTTTTTAAAAAAAAAATATGTCTTCATTGATTTGAGAGAGGAAGAGAGGGATAGAGACACCAATGATGAGAATCATTGGCTGTCTGCCTCCTGCACACCTCCAATTAGGGATCAAGCCTGCAACCCAGGCACGACTGGGAATCAAGTAGGTGGCCTCTTAGTTCATGGGAGGATGCTCAACCACTGAGCAACACCGGCCGGCTGCACCACAAACTTTTATGTGATGGAAACACATGCAAGTTTTGCTACTTTAAAATTGTATCCTCTTCATAAGATGTAGAACTTGAAGTTGGACATAAAATGTCTTTTCACTGTGACATTTACCATTTCTTCCTCATTTTAGGTGTTGAGACTTCTCTCCTAGCAGATATATTCATTCCTAAAAGCTCAAACCTAAATTTTTGATAATACTGCCACCAGGTGGTAGTGATGCCTCATTTCCCTCAAAATCTCATTGTTTTGTCTAAGTGAAAATAATATTTAATGAATTTTTCCATTGTGTTACAAACTTAACATAATCAGTAGACCTAAACAAATTGCCAGATGTTTTTTAAAAGCATGTTTTAAATTATTAGCAAGAAACCATCTGACATTTATTAGTCCTTTTCACTCATTCATTTAGGAGAAAAGTATAGCTAAGCTATCTTCTTCCCTATTCCTATTTTGCAAACTGAGAAATATCTCAATGTTACATAAAACGTCTTTTAGCAATATTAGTTCATAGACTACGGCTAAGTTTTCCAAGCCATTTTCTAAAAATGGTTATTTAAAATGCTATGCTGTCTTACAATATTTAGGTCTTACAGAAGCCTACACCTGAAACCTGTATGATCTTGTTGACCAATGTCACTCCAATAAATTTAATTAAACACACACACACAAAATAAAATGCTATGTTCTCAAGTGAAATAAGGTTAAGTTTAAAATTTAAAAAGCAATAGACTGTTCAATGCAAAATTTTAGTCAAAACACTAGTTATAATACTCATTAAAATGTGACATTGCAAATACAGACTATGTTATTTCTAAATCTTTAATATACTACATCTCAAATTTGACATGTGAATCCCTACCCCGTTTTATTGTTTATCTTCACAACACAAACATGAATTTTTTTTCATTAAATTTTAATGGGGTGACATTAGTCCACATGTTTGGATTACTAATGTACAAAATCTGTATATAGGGCCATGTGCCCACCACCCAAAGTCAGATCTTCTCCTGTCACCTATTAGGACCCCTTTCTTTCCCCACCCCCTCCTTCTGGCAACCACCACACCGTTGTTTGTGTACATAAGTTTCAGTTTTATATTAAACATGACTTTTAAAAATAGTTACTACCCCTACTATTAGATGGTTCAAGAAACAGAATTTTTAGAATAACGATAGGACTTCTTTAAAAGGATTCTAACAGTTTATTGCTGTCTATACTGATCATATGTGTAATGAAAAAATGGCTTCTGGTGATTATAAAGCATTCCAGAATTACACACCAGGGCTATCTATACACTTGAAAAACCTGCTTTACGTAAATCATACAGTAATATGTAGGCTTAATACAGAAACTCAGGGCTAGGAATCAAATCCTAATAGACTGTATTTAACATGTTTCTCTTATTCTTAAATTTGACATTCCCCAGAGGGAACTAGCACAATCTTAACTAATCATTAGTGAAAGAATACCACCACAAATAGTAATAATGGCCTAAGAAAAATATTTCTTAAAAAAAACACACAAACATTACTATTATGTACATTATAACCAGGTCTAAGCACAGTTTTAAAAATTGTGTTTAGTAATATGTTAAGAATGTGAATACAAAGTTTAACAAAATCGGTAAAATAAAAAATAACTTACAAGGAAAGCAAGTTTACATATTAGTGTTAGACATTTTTCTTTCAATTACCTAGTAGATAGAACAGTTCAAGGGCTCACAGGCAAATGTAACATCTTTATTTTTCACAGTTACTGCAATCAGTCCAATATTAAATAATTTAATTCATAAGTATTATTTATATGCACAAACTACACTTTTAACAGCATGACCTTTTACTTGAAAAATAAAGGACAATATAATTATATTATTTACACAATGCCCATAACACTAATGGACAGTTTTTTAATGCTTTGTTTTCTAAACGTTTTGTTGTTTTTAAACAAAAATAAAATTGAAGAGAATGAACCAAAACAGTACCACCAAGTCACATTTTGTCATCAGACACTGATGTCCTCATAGTGGTTCAACTAAGATTATGATTGAACTTCCATCCTAAAATATAAAAAGTATTTTTTAAAAACCATGAAATCCGCCTGGCTGGAGTGGCTCAGTTGGTTGAGCGTCATCCCTGCACCAAAAGGTTGCCAGTTAGATTCCTGGTCAGGGCACAGACCTGGGTTGCAGTTTTGATCCCCAGTTAGGGAGCATATAGAAGGTAATTTGATCAGTGTTTCTGTTCTCTCATTGATATTTTTCTTTCTCCTCTCTAATCATGTCCTTGGGTGAGGATTAAAAGAAAAAAACAAAACAAAACACAAGAAATCCATCTAGCTATGTTCAAATATAATAAATTGTACTGCCATAATAAGAGAACATCCTTAAAATATGAAAACCAGTAAAGAGCACAGAATTTTTTTAAACTTTTACTCACAATACTGCATAATAAATGTGATAATGACTTTTTCAATGTTTCTTCTGTTCTTTTCTTAGATGTGCTTTTTCTCTTAGCTTTTCAAGGTCTTGTCACAAAGAGCCTTAATCACATTTTTTTGTCAAGGTAAATGCACTTATTTTGGTAAAACATTTCAAATGACGTAAATGCTAAGCATTCCCCACTGTTTAAATGACTTCTCATAAGGTAAAGGTAATTTTCTACTTAGATGTCTCTCTTTTATGTAAAGGCAACCCTGGTTCTTTGTGTAATTTACTACCTTTTATGTATAGTCATTCTCACTAAAGATGCAATATATTTTTTAAAAGAAATACTAAGTACTTTAAATATGCTGAAAAAGTAGAAGGGCCAGTTTAGAACTATAATCTAGGAAATAATACATCCAGGTTCAGCCCTGAAAACTGGTCTTTCATAAGTGAAGGTCAACTAGAACATAACTGACTTTCACAGTTTTATTATTATTAATTATTCTTCAGGTTAGTACTAATGTTACAAATCAGGCCTAGTTAGGCAACATTTCATTTTGACTCACTGGGTTTTATACAAAATGCTTTAGGAGAAAGTTTTAATAAAACACTGTATAAAATATTAATTTTCTATAGCTTATAGTCTTAGCTTTAAAGGTTTTCTATTACTAAAGGTAAAAGTAATTCTATAACCCAAAGATGCAATTTGTGAACCCTATTTCATTAAGTCATTGTCATTCTTACTGTTAAATACTGCCAGAATTCAGGAAAGACAAGTAAAGAAGCCATGCCTCACTTGCTGCAGAGGTCTTTAGGCACTCGGTTGGCTATAAGAATACATCTTCACTTACCCTTTCTCTGTAACTATTTCTCAATATATGGGTCACATATAATCTGAAAAACTCAAATAACAAATGTACATTTTAAAAAATGTAAAATCAAGAAATCCCTATTTAATCCAATTTAATCTCAATCAGATATTTAAATTTTGCTATAGAATAATTTTGGTAAAGCAATATTGTACTGAATTCCCAATCCAAAATTCCTTTCATCTACATATCCTAAATTAACTATCTTTGAGATGTAGAATTTCTTACAACATATTATGTGCAAAATAACTCTTAACCACAAAACGTGAAACAACTGCTGCATTTAAAATCAAGCAACATCCAATACTCCAGCAGCCACAAGCTGCCGTGAGAGCCAGTCCAACCCTTCGTATAGTCCCATCCCACTTCGAGCATCACAGCCCTGGATATACCAGCTACGGCCACAGCACAGTTTATGAAGACTGAGAAGTTCAGTGATTTCTTCTACTGAAAGGGCTCCAGCAACATCCTGAAAGATATATACACATCAGAATTTCTTAAAAATCAGTTAATATTGACCATCAATATCATCATTTTTTAAATTATTACCATTTATAAAGAATTCTATTGGTACCATTCTAACCATTCACCTTTCAGTAATCATTCTGAGATTAATAAAACTAGAAAAAAAAAGCGTTTTGGTTAAAATCATTTACTTACTTGTATTATATATTGTGTATATAGCAGCTTTACAATGAAATCAATAAAAGCCATGCAGCCTGAATGAAAGATACTGTCTGAGTCATTATAAGGCATCAATTTAAAAGAAAAATTAATGTATATATATTTTTAAATTTGTTTATACATAGGGTTTACAAAATGAAGGGTTTATTAAACTATTCAGAATACTCGAACATCCCTACTTCCCAGAAGAGTCCACCAGTAATATTCTCATATTTTTCCAGAAAATTTCCATGCACATTTGTACAAATAAACACAAATAGGAACATACTCTAATTTTGTTATTTACTTAACACGCATGTTGAATATTGACAGCTTTCTATTAGGACAAACAGATTTTCTACATTAATTTTAACATGTGAATTGCATTCCACTGTGCAGGTGCAACATCATTTTCTTTCCCAGTCCTATACCAAATGTTCCAATCCTATAAGAAGTTGTGTGCTTATGTGCTATTACAAATACATACATATTTTTTACATACATTTGCAAAAGTATCTGTGGAATAATCTTAGGATATTTGTCTGCAGGATATATTACTAGAGGTATAATTACAGAGTAAGAGGGTATATGCATTTCCCCCTAAGAAAATGTCTCAGTTTAATAACGACAGCATAGTGTATGTAAGTCTGATGATTCTCAAAGATTTTTGTCTTTCACAATGTGATAATTGGAGAATGGTATTTTACTTTGTCTTATTTGTATGTCTTTAATCATAAGTACAGCAAAGCGTATCAGCTTATTTTTGGCCATTTTTTAATTAGGGGGAAATCCTATATTCCTCATCGTACTCCTCCTTATGACATCTAAGCCGCTCTGTGGCACTTAAAACCATTTTGATCCTCCTAGAAACTTATGGTCAAGATCTAGAAATCTGCTGTTCCCTGTCCTTCATCCTCCCCTTTCAATCACCAAATTCTAACAATTCTACCATCATAAAATATCTTCAATCTGCTTCCACCTATCTATTCCTCTAAATAGGGATCTTGTTAAATCTCTCACTTGAATTACTGCAGCAATTTACTGCATCTTCCTGTCTCTAGTCCCTTACCCTTGATTAATTCTACATCCTACCACCAGGATTATAGTCTGAAAACAATGATGTGACCTTACAACCAACTAATCCAAAAACCTTTTGATGGCTCTCTTTTCCTCACAGAATAAAACCTACATATCTCAGTATGGTCCTGTCAGGCCTTCCTTCACAATGTGGCCTCATCTGTTATTCTAGATTTTCTTCATCCTTTACCTGCTCCTCACATACAAGTCCACTGGATGCTCCCTAAAAATACGAATGCTTTTATTTTCTCTGCCTACCATATTCTTGCCTTCACATACTGATTCAAAGACTTATCCATAATTTCAACTTATAATTTCAACCAAAATCCTACTTTTTTACCAATCTTAGAAGATGTCACCTTCAGAACTACTCTCTAATTTGCCATAACATTTTGTTAACATTATTGAAGTTACTTACCAGTTTTCTTTGTATTAGAATGTCATATATATATTCACTTACATGTTTACTTACATACATTGGAGTTTCAGAGAACATCAACTGACTGACTTCTTTTTGAATACTCCAAGGAATGAAGCACAGAATTTGTACTTTCCACATAGATTGCACTCAGAATAGTTAGCAGAAACTTCATAAATATCTACTAATTATTTCTCTTTTGAAATATTTCTAGCTACCCTATGATATGAAATACACAAAACTACTAAAATAAGTATTCTGAAATACAAATGTGTTACCTGTTTGTTAGCAAAAATCAGAAGCAAAGCATCTCGGAGTTCTTTTTCTGTTAACAACTTAGCAAGCTCACTGTGTGCTTCATTAACTCTGTCTCTATGACTGCTATCAACAACGAATACAACAGCTACCAACAAAATGACAAAAATTTCAGTTAGTCACCTGCTAAGTTTCAGTAAATGGACAAAATATTTAATGCTCTCATTATATTATGGGTAGTCTACCATTATTTTTATGGAAAGGCTGCTTATTATTATAGGAGCAATATTTAATGGTATGATCTCAAATAGGTCACATAACTTTTCAGCTTTCATTTCCCCATCCATAACAAAATTTACACTTGCTCTTCCAATTAATATTTCCTCTTAATGAATGAAAATGTACCCCTCATGATCTACCTATTGACGCTACTTATTTGTTGATTACTAATTCTTTTACAAAAAGAGAATCCTTTAAAAATAAATCACCATCTTTCTCTCTCCAAAGTACTCTTTCTAGACACCTAGCACAGCACTTTCCAGCAGAAACTTGATAAATATCTATTGAATGAATACTTTTTAGAAATCTTTCCAGCTAATTTATGGTAGCTAAACATATTCAGACATTTAACCTTTCCTCATGATCAAAATTCCTTTTTTCTCCATTAATCATTGGCTCATATTAAATATCAAAAATCCCAAAGTGAACATAATTATCTAATCTCTCTTCTAGGTGGAAAGTAGGATGACGTATGGAACAGGTGGTATAAACATAAGCTTTTTATTGGGATACAGGAGGCAAAAGTTAGAATGGGGTCCAACTGTTAATAAGTGCTGGATGGAATATATGTGACATAGCAGAGTTTGGTCTAAAGCAAACCACTATAGGTTCTTCTGCAGATAACAACTGTGAATGAAAATGGAGCTTTTAAGATATTATAATGGGATATATGTTTAATTAAATTGAACCGCATAATCATACACCACAAATTCTATACTACACAATACTGCCAGTGATCATACTCATGACACTAATAATTTAACTGTTAAGAGCAGTACTCATAACAGCGCACATATACAAGCTAAGTATTGTTTTTATGCTATAATTATTCCAGTCTTTCCACCTTCATTTTTTTTAATAATGTGGGGCTGGCTACCAATATTTAAAGGTATAATCAATATTTAATAAATGCTTAAACATCAGCTTTACTATTTAAATCAATATACTGAAAACTGGCATCCTAAAAATCTGAAAAATTACGGTGTCATTTTTTTCTCTTACCTTGGGTATTCAGGTAATAATGTTTCCACAATGGTCTTAATTTGTGTTTTCCACCTACATCCCAAATAGTGAACTTTAGATTTTTATATTCTACAGTTTCCACATTAAAACCTGAATTTAAAAAAAAAGTTACTTTAATACTGAACTTATATTTACAGTGACACACCACACACAAGGCAACTCCCTGTTTATAACTGTGACTTACAATTATCTTCACACAGCAATATCTATTGCTGCCCAACCAACTCCACTCCTAATCAACCTATGTGGGGAATGTATACCTTTATCAGTTATTAGACCCCTAAAGCCTGGGTCCTTAGGACCTTAAAACACAAGTACCTGCCAACTCCGCACCACTACCACCCCCTCACCCTTAACCCTCAACAAGGTCACCAATCATTTATTCCTTCCACCTGTCCCACCAAAATTCTGTTCCTTCTTATTATCCCACCATCCACATTTCAATCCAATCCTACAGCCACTGAATCTTGCATTTTTCCTCTGAAATGCTGGTGTCTTACAGCCAGAAAGAAAAGCCCAGCTCCATGACAGACTGGCATATTATAAGATCCCAAAAGCTCAGCTGTAAGCTAGGGTTTGTTAAGGTAAAAAGCAATACTCATACTTACCAATTGTTGGAATAGGTTGCATAAACTCATCCTGTTTTAACTTAAACAAAATAGTAGTTTTTCCAGCACCATCTAATCCTAATGTAACAACTCGAATTTCCATTTTTGGTCCAATGTGAACTCTGTTGTCCTATAATTTTAAAAATATTTTAAAATTTTAATTTTGACATAGTGTTAGAAAGCATAAAGATTTATACTTTTATTTATAAAATGTCACTGTTGATTACTGTCCTTTCTCCTATTCATTTCTCAATCACTGAAATCTGATCTGAAAGAGAAGAGTCACTCCTTAATGCCACATCCTTTACTAAAACGGACTACTTTGTTTTTGTGTAAATTAAAAATGTATGTATCCACCTAATTTTAATTTCTCCAGATTTTTTTTTAGCTCAACTGAATCTTCTAAGGGTTTTTATGCTGTGTTAAATATGTTAATAAATATATTAATCAAAAATGAAAATTGCTGCTCACTTCCCAGAAATATACAGTTAACAATTTCATATATATCCCACCAGACACTTTCCTATGAACATACTGGTTGATATACACAAACAAAACAAATATACTTTTGTTTGTTTGTTTACCCTCACCTGAAAATATATGTTCCATTGATTTTTCAGAGAGAGTGGAAGAGAAGGAGGAGGGGAGGTAAAGTGAGAGAGAACATCGATGTGAAAGAAACACATCGACTGATTGCCTCCCACACGTGCCCTGACCCAGGTACCCTTGGTGCCCTGACCCAGGTGCCCTTGACCCTTTGGTGCGAGGGCCGATGCTCTTACCACTTAGAAACACTGGCCAAGGCAAAACAAATATATATTTTTTTAAATTTTTTTTTCTTCATTTCAGAGAGGAAGAGAGAGGGAGAGAGAGATAGAAACATCAGTGATGAGAGAACCACTGATCGCTGCCTCATGCATGACCCCCACTGGGGATCAAGCCCACAACCCCGTCATGTGTCCTGACTGGCAACTGAACCGTGACCTCCTGATTCATAGGTCTACGTTCAACCACTGCGCCACACCAGCCAAGCCAAGAATACATTTTAAAAAGATAAATTTAAAAAAACAAACATACACTCAACTAACTTTTATACTCAACAGTATATTATGGAATAATTTCATTTCAAAACATAAAGGCCTGCCCTTTTCTTTCAATTACTTTGTTATATTCCATGAGCCAAGATTTAACCAATCCCCAACTGACAGATGTTAGACCATCTCTGAATTTATCATAACGAACAACATTCTTGTAATGAGTGTACATATTACTAGCTGCATGATCTCTCTGCCTCATTTCCCTCATCTATAAATTCAGGATTAAAACAGTACCAAACTTACACAATTTTTACAAGGATTATTTTTTAAAACACATATAAAATCCTTACAACAGCTCCTAAATAATTGTCGGTAACTATTATTTTGCCTCCTCGTTTTAGCACTCTTCTTTTATAATACAACACTGTCCTGGTTTTTATCCCACCTTTTTGGATGCTCCCTCCCATTTTCCTTTTGTCTACCTTTGTAATATTGGTGTGGTTGAGAGTCTATATGAGGTGTGTTTCTTATCTACATAGTCTCATTTACTCCATGTGCTTCAGTTACCATCTTTATGATGATGGATCCTAAATATACACTTCCGTACAGTCCTACACTTCAGAAATAAAATGATATATGAACCAGATTATCTTTGTGAGAATTCTAGAAACCAGTTGTGAAGTTAAACACCCAGGGCAACAAAAAACGAAAAAGAGATTCCAACAAAAGAGGTAAGAAAATTGACAGAATTCTGCACACCCATCTATGCCCCTGCCTAACCTGGTATGGCACAATGCAACTAAAAGGAAAACACCTATACCAGGACAGAAACATAAGGTTTTACTGAGCATCCAGTGTTTTGGCTCATCTGGGGTCTGCCTTAGATAGAGACCGGGTACTGTCTCACCCAACTTGAACCTCTTAGGGACAGCCAACGGCACAATTTGAAAACCACTAGAAACAGAGGCAAGGACATGGCACATTAGAACTCCTGCTGTGCAGGGAGAATAAGAGATTATTGGCTTCTGAAAAAATGCAGAGGCAAGCTGCTTCAGGAATTCAAGGCAGCTAAAGCACACACACAAACCCAGAGACGATAAACCCCAGAAAAGGTTTGAGAATTCTAGAATCTCTAGCTGGTGAAGGTCTTTCCAGGCTCAAAGCCAGTTCATAAAGATTGGAGAGGTAGTTGTTTATTCAAATGCTCAACTCTCAACAAAAATAGGACAAGGCATAAAAGAAACAGGAAAACATAACCCAATCAAAGGAATAAATAAAATTCCAAAAACTGACCCTGAAAATTCAGATTTATGAGTTGTCAAAGAACTTAAAAAACCTGTAATAGAGATACTTAAGAAGTTAAAAGAAACACAGACAATAAATAAAATCAGGAAAACAAAGAACAGGCAAATTAGAATATCAACAGAGATAGAAATTTTTTAAAAGAACTAAAATTCTGGAGATGAAAATATAACTGCACTGAAAAAGTTCACTAGAGGCTTTCAAAAGTATACTTCATCAGGCAAAAGAGAGAATCACCAAACTTGAAGATATGTCATTTGAAATCAAGTGAGAGGAGAAAAAAGAAACAAATGAGTGAAGAAAGCCTGAGGGATTTATGGGACACTAGCAAGGAGATCAACACTTGTGAGAGTCCCAGAAAGAGAAGAAAGAAAGGGGCAGAGAGAGAGCTTACCTGAAGAAATAATGGTTGAATACTTCCCAATCTGAGGAGAAATGGACATAAAAATTCTAACTCAATGCATCCCAACTAGGATAAACCCAAAGAGACCCGCACTGAGACACATTATAATCAAACTGTCAAAAATCATAGACAAAGAGAGAATCTTAAAAGCAGCAAGAGAAAAAAGGCTCATCACATACAAGGGAGCTTCCATAAGATTACCAGCTGATTTCTCAGCAGAAAGTTTGGGATCCAGAAAGGAGTGGGAGAATATATTCAAAGTGCTGAAAGAAATAAAACAAAACTGTCAGGACAGACTGACAGTTGTCAGAGGGGAGGGAATTGGGTAGCTAGGTGAAAAAGGTGAAGGGATTAAGCAGTACAAATTAGTATTTATGGACTAATCACATAGATGTAGATTCTAGCATAGGGAATATAGTCAATAATATCTTGGTAAATATATATGGGGCCAGGTGGGTACCTGAAGCATCAGGGGGATTACTCTGTAAAGTACATAAGTGTCTAACCATTGTACTATACATCTGAAACTAACACAAAATAATACGAAATATAAACTGTAATTTAAAAACAATTTTTAAAAAAGAAAAAAGCTGTCAACAATGAATGCTATATATGCCAAAACTGTCCTTCAAAAAGGAAGGAAAAAATAACGTTCCCAGAAAAGCAAAAGCTGAGGGAGTCATTACCACTAAATATGAACAAATAGTAATCTGTACTGTTGTAATTTTGGTGCATAAATTTAATTTTTATAGACTTGAAATAACAAAAACATTTTATACGCCTGAAACCAATAGAAAATAATAGTGAATGTAAACTGCAATTGAAAATTTTTTAACTGTAAGCCTCTGTTAATAGGTATACAGTATATAAAAATGTATTTTGTGACATCATTAACAAAGTGTGGGGGATGAAATAGGTATGCAATTGAAGTTAAAGCGTTAACATTTAAAATAGTGTTAGAACTAATATGTTTATGTAATTACAATGGTAAACACACAAAGAAAACTTCCATAAAATATAAACAAAAAGAAATGAGAAGGAAATCAAACCATGTCACTACAAAACAATACAGTAAGAGAGGAGAGACAAAAAAAAGCTACATGATATATAGAAAACAATGAACAAAATGGCAATAGTAAGTCCTTACTTATCAATAATTATTTTAAATATTAATGGATTTAGCTCCCCAATCAAAAGACATAGTTTGACTATATGGATAAAAAAACAAGATTAAAAAAAAGAAGAAAAAACAAGATCCAACAATAGGCTGTCTACAAGTGACTCACTTTACATCTAAGGACATATATAGGTTCAAAGTGAAAGGATGGAAAAAAATATTCCATGCAAATCATACCCAAAAGAGGAGGGATGGCTATCCTATCAGACAATGGGCTTTAAGTCAGAAACCATTATAAGAGAGACAGAAGGTCCTTATATGACTAGAGGCTCGGTGCACAAAATTAGTACATGGGTGAGGTCCCCAGGCCTAGCTGGCAATCGAAACCTGAGCACCTGGCATGGACGGGCAGGTCCCAGCTGACCTCTGGGCCCTGGGCAGCACCCGGCCCCCAGGCTCCTGCGCACCCCCCTCCACCTGAGTCACAGCACCGGCACCGGAGCCCCACGTGGAGATGCAGTGAGTCGGCCAGACGCCGCAGGCCAGGGCACCACGTGGGCCTCTGGGCCACCCAGCAGCACCACACGGAAGCCAGGCGGGCAGCATGCTCTCTCCTGGCTGGCCTCGTACAACAGCTCCTGCATGAACCCATGGGGAGCCCAGCCGGCCCCTGAGGTCCTAGTGGCTGTGGCCTGGCTCACCCGGAAGAGGCCATGTGGGGGCTTCCCCGGTGCGTGAGCCCTGGCATCCTGAGGGAAGGTAGCAGGCGGAGTGAGAACAAGCTCAGCGGACACCCAGCATTCTCACTGCACCTCTGCCCCCGTCACCCCCACCCACAGGTAGTTTGCGAAAGGTCGCAGCCCCCCACCTGGGCGCCACAGGAGGTTGGTCGCCGCCCCCTGATGGTCAGCGCATGTCATAGCAAGCGGCTGAACTCCTGGTCGAACAACTGCCCGAGGAAACAACTTGCATATTAGGCTTTTATTAATTGTCTACACTAATAAAAGACAAATATGCTAATTGACCGTACCTTCGCTACATCCATCAGTCAATCAGAAGAGTATGCAAATGAACCCAACTAAGATGGCCATTAAATTTGCATACTGCAGGTGGGGCAGGGCAGTGCATCCGCCACCCGCCCCAACCTCGGATCGGGCCTGCTGTGTGCACAACACGGAGAGGCGCCCCAACCCTGGGATCAGGCCTGCTGTGTGTGCGACCGGGGCGGCGGGGCAGGGCAGCACCATCTGCCGCCCACCCCAACCCCGGGATCGGGCCTGCCGTGTGCGCGACCCGGGGCAGCGGGGCAGGCACCGTGGGATCGAGCCTGCCATCTGCCACCCAGGGAGCAGGCCTAAGCCAGCAGGTGGTTATTTCCCGAGGGGTCCCAGACTGTGAGAGGACACAGGTCGGGCTGAGGGACAAACTCCCCCCCCCCCCGTGCACAAATTTTTGTGCACCGGGCCTCTAGTTTAGGATAAAAGGATAAATTTAAAAAGAAGACATACAATTATAAGTAGTTGGATTATAAATATATAAATTAAAGCCAAAACATGAGATCTAAAACTATAAAACTCCTAGAAGAAAACATGGGATGAAAGTTTCATGACATTGGATTTCAGAATGATTTCCTCAATAGGACACCAAAGTATAGTCAGCAAAAGCAAAACAGACAAATGGGACTGTATCAATCTTAAAAACTTTTATGAATCAAAGAACACAGTTAACAGAATGAAGCAACAGGCTAGGTATTGGGAGAAAATATTTGCAAATCATATATCTGATAATGGTTTCATATCCAGAATATATAAAGAACTCCTACAACTCAACAACAAATATCAAATTACTCAATTAAAAAACAGGTAAAGGACTGACACAAAATTTCTCCAAAGAAGATATAAGATGGCCAGAAAATATGAAAAGATGCTCATCATTACTAATCATCAGAGAAATGCAAATTAAAACACAATGAGATATCACTTCATGCCCATTAGGACAGCTACTATTAAAAAAATAAAAAATACCAACCCCTCAAACCAAACACCAAAAAGTAACAAGTGTTGGTAAAAATGTAGAGAAATTACTGCTGGGGGGATTATAATATGGTACAAACACTATGGAAAACAGTACGGCTCTTTCTCAGAAAATAAAAAATTGAACTACCATCCAGTAATCTCGTGGCTGGATATATATCCAAAAAAATTGAAAGCGAGGTCTCTAAGAAATAGTTGCACACCTATGTTCACAGCAGTACTATTCACCATAGCTAAGAGGTGGAAGTAACAATAATGTCTTTCAATGGATAAATGGATAAACAAAAGGTGGTATAAGCAAACAATTCTGTCACATTTTAACTGTGAGGGCATTGTGCTATATGAAATAAGCCAGTCACAAAAAGATAAATAATGTATGATTCCACTTACATGAAGTATTTAGAGAAGTCAAATTCAAAGAAACAAAGTTATCAAGAGCTGGTAAGGTAGGAGAAAAGAGGAGTTATTGTTTATAAGGCACAGAGTTTCAGTTTTGGAAGATGGAAAAATTTCTGGAGATTTGATCCACACAATGTGAATATAGTTAACAATACTAAATTGTACATTTAAAAATGGTTAAGATGGTAAATTTTTATTATTTTTTTTACCGCAATAAAAAAAAAAAAAAAAGTGGTACATCCTCACAATAAAGTATCTTGCAGCTATTAAAAGAAACAAAACAATGTCACTGTATACTGCCATGAAGTGTTCTCCAGGACATAACACTTAAGTGAAAAGGGCAAGGTGGAGAAATGTATAAGGTATTCTACCTTTAAATGCAGGGAGTGTGCAGGTAAGTATATAAAAATTTCCTCTATTTTTAAATGATGAATAAAACTCAGAAAAAATTCTTAATAGTTTTATATGGGGAATGGTAGAGATGGTAGGGGGGTTGGGGATAGAAGCTAGGCTGCTCTATGTGAACCTTGCTTTATAGTTTACAGATTGGACTCTGAACATTTGTGTGAAAAACTGAACTACCATACAAGCCAGTAATCTCATGACTAGAGATATATACATTTAATGTTTTACACTATTATAAAATAGTATTAAATTTTTTAAAAAATATATATTTTATTGATATTTTACAGAGGGGAAGGGAGAGGGATAGAGAGTTAAAAACATCGATGAGAGAGAAACATCAATCAGCTGCCTCCTGCACACCCCCGACTGGGGATGTGCCTGCAACCAAGGTACATGCCCTTGATCGGAATCGAACCTGGGACCTTTCAGTCCGCAGGCCAATGCTCTATCCACTGAGCCAAACCAGGAAGGGCATATTAAATTTTTTTTAAAGTCCCTAAAAACAGCCCTATCTCTCATCACTGATGTTTCTATCTCTCTCTTCCTCTCCCTTCCTCTCTGAAATCAATAAAAATGTATTAAAAAAAAAAAAAAAAGTCCCTAAAAAGAGAAAGCAAAATGGAACACATGCACGTTTTTAAATTAGGGGAATCTACTTTAAAAGAGACTAAAATATATCAAACAAGTACAGGATTCTCAAACAAGTACAGTTGCCTCAAAAAAAAAGCAACTTAAAAATTTTTTAATAGTCTAGGAGATCTGAATACTCACTGGATAATGAATAATATTAAAGATCTATTGTTACATTTTTTAGGTGAGATAACAGTTTTTGTTATGTTTTTTAAGAGTCCTTACTTTTTAGAATTATATCTGAAAATATTTTGTAGATGAAATTATATGACGTTGGGATGAAATATGTTGGGATTTATTTGAAAATAACTTGGGAGCCTGCAGACAGAAAAGGGAATGGGGAAAGGAGAGATGAAATTTAAAAGTTTTTCATTGTTTTGTTTTTAATATATTTTATTGATTTTTTACAGAGAGAAAGGGAGAGGATAGAGAGTTAGAAACATCAATGAGAGAGAAACATCGATCAGCTGCCTCCTGCACGCCCCCCACTGGAGATGTGCTCGCAACCAAGGTACATGCCCTTAACCGGAATCGAACCTGGGACCCTTGAGTCCGCAGGCCGACGCTCTATCCACTGAGCCAAACCGGTTCTGGCTAAAAGTTTTTCATTGTTAAAGTGAGTTTTGGGTACAAGGAGATTCCTCATACCCCTTTCTATTTTTCACTAATAGATTTTTTTAATCCTGTGATTCATGAATTTCTTAGTTCTCTTTTCAAGCTGATTACCATGGAATTTAAGCAACAATGATTCGTCAGAAAAGAAACATAAAGTGCAGTACAGTACATTACCTTCGTAAAAGTGACAGGGATGCTGGCATCCAACTGAATGTGATCTGCAACCTCTGTAAACTGCTGCTGCTGCTTCTGCAATGTTTCCAGTAACCTTGTAATTTCTTGTTTTGCCAAGACAACTCTACAATCATCCTAGGAAAGAGAAGACAGTATTCTTATAAACATGTTAAAAAAGAGACATTATCAAAACTCAAAAAAAAGATCATTTAACATTACAGTATTCAAAGTTAACCTAAGTGTAAATTTGACTAGGATAAAAATAATCAGGCATTAATAAAGAATTTGAGAACCTATCAAAAGAAGAATGAATAAATTGTGGTATATTGTTCACACATACAACATTATATACCACTATGAGAGTGAACCACAATTACATGTGCTATGAATCTTATAAACATAATGTAGTGTACAAGAAGAAATAACATAAAGAGTTCATACTGTATGATTCCATTACCAAAACAGGCAAAAATAAGAAATGCACTAGAAGTCAGTATAGTAGTTTATCCTTGGGGAAAGGGCTAGTAGTTACCAGCAGGAAGTCTGAGGGATTTCTGGGAGCTGGTAATGGTCTGTTACTTGGTCTGAATGCTTGGCATTATACAATAATGCCCTGTCCGAAAATTCAGCCAGCTGAACACTTAGGAACACAGTTCTTTATGTATGTTGTACTTCTATAAAACGTTTTTTTTTGTTTGTTTGTTTGTTTTTTAAATATATTTTATTGATTTTTTACAGAGAGGAAGGGAGAGAGAGATAGAGAGTTAGAAACATCGATGAGAGAGAAACATCGATCAGCTGCCTCCTGCACATCTCCCACTGGGGATATGCCCGCAACCCAAGTACATGCCCTTGACCGGAATCGAACCTGGGACCCCTCAGTCCGCAAGCCGACGCTCTATCCACTGAGCCAAACCGGCTTCGGCTATAAAACGTTTTTAAAATAATATAAGATATACATGTATTGGTAAAAAAAAGAAAAAAGAAAGAAAGAAAAGAAAAAAGGACTTCACATCAGATTGTGAAAAACCTTACTCTAGATCCCCAGGCTCTCCTCAAAGTCAAACACTTTCTAGTTTCTCAATTGTTATTCCAGATATTCTATACATGTGCCAATATATTCTTCAAAAGACAGAGATGTCCCAAAAATATGTACGTTCCATGACAGCAGTGATGTTATCAGTTTTTATTCACTGTTGCATATTCATATTAGTTGATGGAAATTCCATTATTCCAGTGGCTCAGAACAAAAAACTTGAAGTCACTCTTGCCTTCTCCTCCCTAATAACCCGCAACAACCTGTCAACAAATCCTACTGGATACCCAGAATCTGGGCATTTCTACCTGCTACTAACCTAGACACTATTCTCTCTCACTTGGAATTCTACAACAGCCTCCTAAGCATTGAACTCCTTCCTTCTACCTTTGCCCCCACTTCAATCTATTTTTTACACGTTATCCAGAGTGATCCTTTGGACATGTAAGATCAAGTCATTTTTATGCTCAAAACCCCATTTCAATCAGGAAAAGCTCAAGTCCTTCCAATAGCCCAAGGCCTTCCTTACATATAATCCATATGACCTCTCATTTCAGCTTCTATTATTCCCTCCTTCGCTTACTTCATTCCAGCCACAGTGCCCTCTTTTGCTGTTCCTCAAACACACTAGGCATGCTGCCTCTAACCATTTCCTCAGCTGGAATTCTCTTCCTCCCAATAGGGCTTTACCTAATTCCTTCACCTCCTTCCTCTCTGTGTTCTTGCTCAAGTCTTATCTTCTCTCAATGATGTTTACCCTATTTATTTATTTGTCCTCACCCGGGAACGTCCTCAGACAGAGGAAGGGAGGGAGAGAGAGAAGAGTATCGATGTGAGAAATTAGTTCGGTTGCCTTCCCTACGTGCCCCAACCGGGGATCAAACCCGTAACCCACGTATATATGTATGTGCCCTGTGAATCTAACTAGCAGCATTTCAGTGCACAGGACGACGCTCAACCAACTGAACCGCTCCGACCAGGCTACCCTGACTATTTAATAAGGCAATCTGCTGTACCTCCACACTTTCTCTTTTTTCCTTAGCTCACTTTTTCATATCCTATATAATTTACTTATTTAGATATGTTATGGTTTATTACCCATCTTCTTGCTCGAATGCCAATTCCACAAGATTATGGCTTTTTGCTTGTTTTGTTTACTGATATATCGTATGTATCTGGAATGTACATGCATATACTAGGCACTCAATACATATTTGCTAAATCAATAGCTAAATCCTCACCATTTAGCAAAGTATATCATATGCAAACTGGGTAACAAATGCCTTTTAATAACTCAACTATCAAAAAACATAGTTTTTCTGCCCTAACCAGTTTGGCTCAGAGGACAGAGCGTCGGCCCAAGGACTGAAGAAGGGTTCCGGGTTCAATTCTGGTCAAAAACATGTCCCTTGGTTGCGGGCTTGATCCCCAATAAGGGGCGTGCAGGAGGCAGCTGATCGATGTTTCTCTCTCATCAATGTTTCTAAGTCTCTCTCTCCCTTCCTCTCTGTAAAAATCAGTATTTTTTAAAAAAATAGCTTTTCTGTGACATCAAAGTTAAGAACCACTAAATTAGAACTAGAGAGGTACCCCCAAAAAAGAGCAAGGAAGAGAGACTTCAAAGATTAGCAGACATTTCAGCTAGACTTTGAAGGAGGATTTCCACTCGCAGGAAAGGGAGATATGAACCTGCCAAGCAGAAGGAATAGTACATGGTTGGCAAAGAAGAGTAAAGAACTTGGCGTGACTGAAGAATGACAGAGATAGAAGTTCTAGAACCCACGGTTTTATGGTGGGGAGGGCACATGAAGAAGAGGACACTAGTTTGTTGGTGGAGCAACTGGAGGTTATCGAGACCATGTCCTAAGTACAATGTTAATGAATGCAGTAACATACAATAAAATAAAAATATTTATTAAAGTAATAAAATAGACTAGTGTGTATCTCTGGTAATTATCTACTTAACCTTAAAAATTCTTCTCCTTAAACTATATCCTTCCTATGTTTAAACTACCTACCTGTTGCAAAGTCTTTTCACAATGGAGACAGGCTGTTGAAACCTGGGACAGCAAAATAGTCATATCTTCTTGTTGTTGCCTGAGCCAAATTAATTTTTCTCGAACATGAGCATCGACAACACTTAAAGCCATTTCTTCTTGACGACACAGAGTTTCATGTAGATCAGAAAAATAAGCTCGAACACATGACCGGGCATTCTCCGCAGTACCCGGTACCTAAGAAAATAAAAATAAAGTTTAAGCAACTCTAACTATAACAAAGATTGTATATGTGAAATATGAAAATTTAAATACCACCTATTATCCTTAAAAATTCTAAAATTTGTATCTTCACCACAGCCTTTGGATACCCAACTGTTTAAATGACATCTCAGTAGCAAAAGAGTCTCTCTTCTCTAAAATCCAGTTTCCTCCATCTCAATAAATGGCAACTCCATCCTCCAGATTGTTCAAGACAAAAAAATTGAAACCATCTTTAACATTTTGTTTGAGTCCCACAATTAGTTCCTCAGCAAATTCTCTGGACTCCAGAATATATACAAAATATAATCATGCATCATCACCTCCACCTCTTATCAACCTGACCCAAGCTATTATCATGTCTCACCTGATTATTATAATAGTCTTCTAATTGGTCTTACTATATCTGCCACTGCACACTACAATGTATTCTCCACCCAGCAGCCAGAATGATCTGTTTAAAATGGTAAGTCAAAATATATTCTCTTGCTCAAAATTCTTCATTCCCCTCAGAGTGAATGCCCACCTCCTCTCTGTATCGTGTGTTCAAGGACAGACTCACTGAGAAAAGGATGCCTGAACAAAGACCTGAAGGAGGTAAGAGAAGAACCACACAAATATCTTGAGGAAGAGCATTCCTGGCAGACAGAAGAGCAAGTACCTCTAAGGCCTATTCTGCCTCACTCCCCGCCCCCAGTCACTCTACTCGAGGTGCACGTAGCCTCCTCACAGTTTCATAGCACACCATGCACATGCCAACCTCAGGGCCCTTGCCACTTACTTTCCTCGTCCTGGAATACTCCTCCCCCCGGTATTTTCATAGTTCCCTTTCTCATCTCCTGTAGGTCTTTGCTCAATGTCACCTTCTCAGGGAATGGGTCCTCAAATAGAAATCTAGGTCTCATGCCTGGCCCTCCAAGTCAGCTATTCAAGTCAGCTATACTAATCACTAAGACCTAACTATTCAACTTCAAAATCTCAAATTCTTCTACTTCTCTCCATTCTCACTACTTTAGTGAATATTGGTCATTAAAGCATCTCTCAACTGGATAATTTCAGCAACTGCTAATAAGTTTCCGGCTTCCAATCTTGTTGCTACTCCAATTCATTTTCTACGTTGAAGAGCAACTTTTCTTTTTTCCTGTTGTAAATTCTTACCCAAGGATATTTTTTCTATTGACTTTTAGAGAGAAGAGAGGGGAAGAGACAGAGAGAAACTCCGACGTGAGAGAGACACACCGATTGGTTGCCTCCCGGACATGCCCCAACCAATGCTGGGGATCAAACCTGCAACTGAGGTACCTGCCCATGACCAGAATCGAACCTGCGACCCTTCATTCGAAGGGTATCACTGTAAGCCAGCCAGAGAAAGATAAATATCACATGATCTCACTCATATGTGGGATATAATGATCAACATAATTTGATGAACAAGAATAGATCCAGAGACAAATGGTAGGGGAGGGGAGCGGTTAGAGAGCAACCAAAGGACTTGTATACATGCATATTAGCATATCCAATGGACACAGGCACTGAGGCGGTAGGGGCTTGCCTGGGGTGGGAATGGCTGGGGGCGGCAGGGGGGGGGGGGGTGGCGTCAATCGGGGGGAAAAGGAGACATATATAAAACTTTAGACAATAAATAAATAATAAATTTAAAAAGAAATTATTTCATGATTAGTTCAGTATAATTGCTCAATAAATAATAGAAGGTGAAAGGTAAGAAAGAGAAAGAGTAAAAGGTAAAAAACAAATTTAAAAATCCATACATGTTCTGTGTGGGCCATTCCAATTCCATCTTCCACTATTTGTTCTCCTCCTTCAATGTGCTGAACGATTCCAACTAATTTTCTGGAATAATCTGAGATTTCCTCAGTGAAGGTCCGTATACAGTGAGCCATATCTAAAATTGAGGCTCGGATCTGGTTAGCTTCTGGTTCCAATACTGAATGCTATAAAATGCAACATTATAGGAAAAAACTCATAGTATTTGACTAATAATATAAAAAATTACTTAAATCATTCCTATTAATTAAAAAAACCTTCAACCACAAGTGGCTTTTTTAACACATTTTACAAAAGCAAGCATATAAAATGCTAATTTGCCTTCACCCAATAACTATTTATCCTGCAAAGCAATACTTTAAATTTTACAAATCAATTTCTCACTAACCAGGAACCCACAAGTACCTCTAAAATTTTATCACAGCAGTTCATCAATAGACATAAATATTATCAAAACAACCTAGTGCATTATGAAAACATACACTGAAGAAAAGAACTTTTGTTTCCTGCTGGAAAGCTATTTTCATTAAAGAAAGAATCATGATGCCTTGCTACTGAAATTTTTGTTATTCAGAAATTAAATCTTGTTTCTTTTCAGTCTACCAAACAAACAGTGGGTTGGCAGACTAGGTAAATCATCCAGTTTAATTATATTCATACCTTGTGACCTTGGTGTTTTCCATATTCTTTGCAGACACAGCACATGAGTGGGCTAGTTTGACAGCCTTCTTCCAAGCAAACAAACTCAATGGCATGCACCTGATGCTGAGAACACATGGTTTTCTCATGAGGTTTATCAGCGAGAGGCACTCGCCTGTGCTTTGCTAATGTCTTCGTAGAATGAGTAACTTGGGAACACTCTGAGCACAAGTGAGTTGCACATACAGTGCAATATACAGATGCAACGTGAGCTTCATCTTCATCGCAACGAATGATGCTCTGATAAAAACAAATTAATGCCTTTGAGTCTAAGACTTAGACTGAACTCAGAACACTATAGCATGACAAATTTTGAAACATAAAAGCCTAGAATCTTTTTTAAAAATAATTAATCAGCCTTTTTATATGAAAATACACTGGTAATTAGTACAAAGGTCATTCACTACTCATCTGAGAAAGTATTCATTTCTATGGGTGAGAAGCTATTCCCAAAATTGGTTATCAATATATGTTAAATTACGTGAGGCCAAAAATAAAACTATTCTCATAAATTCACAGAGTAAAGTTAACTTCCACAAAATCCCTTTGCTTTATAAGAAACTGAATAGAGGTTAGAATTCTTTTTTTCAGACTAAAACCACTGATATTAAAAACATACCTACTGCTTTAGCCCTAGCTGGTTTGGCTCAGTGGATACACATTGGCCTGCGGACCAAAGGGTCCCGGGTTCGATTCCAGCCAAGGGTAAGTACCTTGGTTGCAGGCTTCTCCCAGGCCCGGGGTCTGGTCAGGGCACATGAAGGAGGCAACCAATCCATGTGCTTCTCTCACATCTATGTTTTTCTCTGTCTTTTCCTCTCTCTTCCACTCTCTCCAAAAATAAAAAAATCAATGGAGCCCTGGCTGGTTTGGCTCAGTGGATAGAGTGTCGGCCTGCGGACTGAGGGGTCCCAGGTTGATTCCGGCGAAAGGCACATGCCTGAATTGTGGGTTCGATCCCCAGTAGGGGGTGTGCAGGAGGCAGCTGATTGATTCTCTCTCATCATTGATGTTTCTATCTCTCTCCCTCTCCCTTCCTCTCTGAAATCAATAAAGAAATATATATATTTTTTAAAAATCAATGGGAAAATATCCACGGGTAAGGATTAACAAAAAAAACAAAACAAAACAAAATATACCCACTGCTTTAAGTATTATCTGTCATAATGATAAATAGAAAGAAGAGAAGCACAATGCTATTTAGATAGCAAGGGGTGTACATCAGAATTAGCTATAAAGCTTTTAAAACCATGGTGCCAAAAGGGGTTAATGAGGGGGGAAAGGGGACATATGTAATATTTTCAACAATAAAGATTTTAAAAGAATAATAATAAAAATAAAAAATAAAGCCATGTTGCCAAGAATCCAACCTGGGAAATAATAGGTTAGAGATGAAGCCTGAGTTTGTGTACTTTTCTCTAAAGTTTCACAGGTGAGTCCAATGCACAATTCTAGTTGAAAGCCACTGATTTAAGCAAATAAACAATTAACACCTATGCTGTTAAGTATTAAGCTTTTAGTATATGTGCTGCCGAAGCGAGCACATAAGTATTAGGCTTTTAAGTATTATTTCTAATTTCCATTAATTACTAAAAAGCTTCAAGTTGGAAAATTTTACATGTCAGATCACCAAGAAAGCTTGCAATTTTTTGCTGAATATTAAAAGGCCATAATTAGAAAGGGAGAGATTTGGTATAAAATTTTTCCAGAAATAAAAATTAGAAAATATACCAATGGTGTCACTCAATATCACAAATTAAAAAAAGCACACAAAGTTAGACAGCTTTGTTTGCAATTATGGGAAATACGTACATGTAAAATAAAAATTCATGTCTTCTGTTTTCAAGATCTGACAAGTAATTTACAAGGTCAACATTAGATAATACTCTAATGCAGTGGTTCTCAACCTTGGGTGCACATTAGAATCACCTGGGAATCTTTTTAAAATCCTGATTTCTGGGCCTTATCCTCCGGAAATTGTTTCTTTGTTATGGGGTGGGGCCACATTAGTAACAAAGAAACAGAATTTCCGGAGGATGAGGCCCAGGAATCAGGATTTCAAAAAGATTCCCAGGTGATTCTAATGTGCAGCCAAGGTTGAGACCCACTGCTCTGTCTTTTGAAATAAAGATAAAATCTAGAATGTGTGAAAGAACTGCAAAAATTTCAGAAAACAATGCTTCCGTTTGAAATTTATTTCAATGATTTACTTTACATAAAGAAATCATGATTTAATAAAAGTGAAAATCATTTCGACTTCTTTTATCTTGATGTTAAACATGCTTTTAAAGCTGATCACCAAAATCAATAACTGCTATTTACTACAACTATTCTTATATCCAGAACAGCCTATGAGCTATGCAGGCAAACAATTCCGTAAGTGTTAAAAATGTATTTTAATCTGTGTTCATGGACTTCTAATATTTCGGGATATCTACCTGTCTGGAAAAAGAGGATACGCCTACACGTAATTTAACCTTTTCATAAAGATATTTAATAGTAGTAATTCCCTCAGGAGCTAGTGCTATCTTTAAGGCATTTTGCTTCAATATTAAATAGCCTCCTTCATAGAGTTCCTCTTTCTTTCTTTTTTTTTCTTTCTCTCTCTCTCCTCTCTCTTTTCTCTCTCTCTCTCTCTCTCTCTCTCTCTCTCTCTCTCTCTCTCTCTCTCTCTCTCTCTCTCTCTCTCTCTCTCCCCCTCTCTTTGTACTTTACTGTTCACTAGTTCATTTTTGTATCCTCTGCTTTAATGCACATCTTACTCTTTCATAATCGTACTCTTTCACTTTCTGGGATAGAAAGGATTTAGTATAGGGAGATAAGCTTATACACAAGACATAGTTTGGGTATAGTATTATCAAAGAATTCAGGTTTCAGTGTTACTTTTGTTCTTTTGGGATTTTTGTTGCCTTAAGAACTATAATGTAACAAAAAGTTGTGTTTCTAGGATCCTATCTGCTGGAGTAAGTGAGGTAATATTGTGCTTTTCATGGCAAATATTTTAAATTAAAAAAAAAATCCATGCTCATAACAAATATTTCACCAAGTTCAATCAATACCTCTCCAGATATCCCAATGGCTTCTTCTGCAGCACCATACTGACCAATATGTCCATTCTGTAGTCGTTCCAAAAGTTCCAATAAAGCAAAATTTTTTTTCAATCCCCAAACACCTGAATCTCCTAGAATAAATATAAAAATAAAAACTAAATCTAACAGAATGCAATCATAATCACTTTACCTCATACCTCAACTGTAATTTCTAAGTCATACAGTTTAGCCATTAATAACGTCTAAATTTTAAAAATGCAAATTTCCCCCATTTCCTATTTATGATAGAACAATTGTCTTAATATTCTTTAAAAAACAGAATTCCTCAGGATTCTACATAGAAACATACTTTCAAGTTTCAATATTTTTCTATCATTTAACTTTATAAATCCTATTTTGTCACTGACTTTTACTATATATTCTAAAATAAGTGCTTTGAATTATTTTTACAGCAACCTAAGGTAAGAAATACAGTTTACATTGCAACCCAGGATCATATGTCAAATATATAACTGAAACAAAAGTTTCACACACCAGTATTCACTCTTTCAGTGTGCAACACACTGTTTTAGGTTTATTTCTTTTTAAAACAATTTCGTCACAACCAATTAAATTGATTTCATGACCACAAATAAGCTATGACTCATGTTTGAAATTCCCTGTACAAAAAATACACAACCTAAAATAGCTCTATCTCTAAGCAAACTGGAACTAAAACAGCTAAAGATAGTATTTCCCCCACTCTTCATCTAACCTAGAACCTTATAGAAGTCAATGACTATATAAACTCCTTTTCACGCAGATACATCAAAACAATACGGTTGCGGGCACATCCCCAGTGGGAGGTGTGCAGGAGGCAGCTGATCGATGTTTCTCTCTCATCGATGTTTCTAACTCTCTATTCCTCTCCTTTCCTCTCTTTGAAAAACCAATAAAATATATTAAAAAAAAACAAACAAAAAAAAACCACAATACAACAATCCCTTTTAGGTAGATAAGACTTTAGGAATATCTGGATAAAAAAAACAATGCTTCTTTTCCCCAGAACTGACCATAAAAGGCCAGATGCGAAAGCATACATGCATGCAAACCCACTCATTCTGATTCTCTCTCTCTCTTCCTAAATCTACAAATAAAACCCAGATTCTTCAGCAGTTAGAAGGAATATGTCTGTTATGTTTGTTATGGTGAGTTTCTATGCAACAAATACCACCTGACACATTGTTGTCACCTAATCTATATTCACTGAATGAATGCATAAATGAAAGGATGATGGGGTTACTGGCTGCAGGGCTCCCCTTCCTCTTGGCCAAGCTTTTCTTTAAAAAGGAAAAGGAAAAGGGGAAGTAAAGGAAAGACCATTTCTTGTTGTGGTCCTCCAAAAAATTTCAAATTAGGCAAAATAGCCTCTTCTGACTTTTGTGACCTCCTTTCCCCAGCACCTTCATGCAGCCAATCCAGCATTTCTCCCTCAACCCGCTAACCAACTAGGCTTTCTCCTTAATTGTTTACATTTTTCACTCTTATTCTACTACAAGCTCAGTTGTATCTAGTCTATTTATATAAGCATTAAAAAGTATACTAAGCAAGTCCTTTAATTAAAGATATTATCCTGACAATTTTCTAAATATTGTCATCCTATCTAATAAAAGAGAAACATGGTAATTGGCGTATGACCGCTACCCTTCCCATTGGCTAATCAGCGAGATATGCAAATTAACTGCCAGCCAAGATGGCGGCCGGCAGCCAGGCAGCTTGAAACTAACATGAGGCTTGCTTGCTTCAGTGATGGAGGACTCCAACGTTCCCCGCCTGCCGCTGCAGGCCTCTGAGCTGCAACTCTAAGCAACTATGTAACAAATATAGAAGCTAAACAAAACCCCAGAAACCTGATTTAGTCCACCGGGCTTCCGCCAGCAGGATCGCAACATTGTAAGCAAAGGTCCGAAACCTACTTTCAGCAGCGGAGGCCTAAGAGCTGGAGCCAAGCCTCAAAGCTAAAGCTGGCCCAGAATAAAAAAGAAAAAAAGGAGCGGTTGGGAGCTTCAGTCACCCCCAGTGTGAAAACAGCCCTCAGCCCCTCACCCAGACTGGCCAGGCACCCCAGTGGGGACTCCCACCCTGAAGGGTGTGTGACCAGCTGCAAACAGCCATCATCCCCTCACCCAGGCTGGCCAGGCACCCTAGTGAGGACCCCCACCCTAATCCAGGACACCCTTCAGGGCAAACCAGCCAGCACCCACCCATGCACCAGGCCTCTACCCTATATAGTAAAAGGGTAATATGCCTCCCAGCACCGGGATCAGCAGAGCCGCGAGGCCTCCCGGCACCGGGATTAGCGTGACAGGGGGCAGCGCCCAAACCCCCTGATTGCCCTGTGGCTCTGTGTGTGACAGGGGGCGGGGCCACAACCTCCCTATCCACCCTGCTCTGTTCGTGACAGGGGAAGGCGCTCCAACCCCCTGATCAGCCCTGCTCTGTGCCTGACAGGGGGGAGCTCCCCAACCCCCTGATCACCCTGCGGCTCTGTGTTTGACAGGGTGCGGAGCCCCAACCCCCTGATCGGCCCTGCTCTGTGTATGACAGGGTGCGGCGCCCCAATCCTCCCCCCCACTGCCATGGGCCCTGCTCTGTGTGTGTCAGGGTAGAGCCATAACCTCCCCATCGGCCCTGCCCTGAGTGTGAGAGTGGCAGCGCCCAACCCCCTGATTGGCCCTGCTCTGTGCGTGACAGGGTACAGAGCCCCAACCCCCCTGATGGGCCCTGCTCTGTGAGTGACAGGGGGCAGTGCCCCAACCCCCTGATTGACCCTGCTCTGTGCGTGACAGGAGGTAGCGCCGCAACCTCCCCATTGACCCTGCCTTGAGTGTGACAGGGGACGGTGCCCCAACCCCCCAATCGGCCCTACCCTGAGTGTGACTGAGGGTGGCATCACAACCTCCCGATCGCCCTGCTCTGTGCATGACAGGGGGCGGCGCCCCAACTCCCCAATCGGCCCTGCTCTGAGCCTGACCAGGGGCTGCACCTAGGGATTGGGCCTGCCCTCTGCCACCCAGGAGCAGGCCTAAGCCAGCAGGTTGTTATCTCCCGAGGGGTCCCAGACTGCGAGAGGGCACAGGCCGGGCTGAGGGACCCCCGTCCCCCCCGAGTGCGCAAATTTTTGTGCACCGGGCCTCTAGTTATATAATAAAAGCCCAGTGAACGGAACGACCAGAATGACCGGTGGCTATGGTGCATACCGCAGCAGCCAACCAGCCTGATCCGGGCCCCGGTCAGCCCCCCTCCCTGGCCGGCCCGGCCCCCACTCGGCCCCCAACACCCTGATAGGGGGCGGGGCCAGCCAGCCAACTGCCTGCGCCCCCTCCCCCCCACTGGCCCAGCTCGATGAGCCCCCTCGGGACAGGCTGGCTGGACCCTACCCATGCATGAATTCCTGCACCAGGCCCAGCTCGATGAGCCCCCTCGGGACAGGCTGGCTGGACCCTACCCATGCATGAATTCCTGCACCAGGCCTCTAGTTAAATAAACTCCTAGCAGTATCAACCTACTGTCTAGTAGTATATCACTAATATTTCTGTAACTGTCAAAATAACTCTAAAATCACAATGGTTTAAACCAACAAAGACTTACTTTTTGTTCATGCAAGATATCAGGGGATGGTGAAAACAAGAAAGACTTTCCCCTACTATCCATGATCAGGGACATAGGCCACTGAGCCTCTAACCACCTGGACCACCTCAATGTATCAGGAAGAAGGATTTACTGCAAGCCATCATAAATCTCTTCTCAACAGCTTCTATCTGGAAGTTGACACTTCATCCTATTCATATTTCACTAGTTAAAAGGGAATCACACAGCCATACCTAACTCTAAGAGAGTAGGGAAGTATAATATTACCACAGGGACAGCAGAGAAGAACCAGAAATATTACGGAAATGTACTGATAACTACCACAATTAACTACTAATACAGTGGGGCCTTGACTTACAAGTGTCCCAACTAACAAGTTTTTTGAGATACCAGCTGTCTCTCAGCCCGATTTTTTGCATTGAGTTGATAGAGTAATTTGAGTTAAGGAGCTCGGTCTCGGAACGAATTAAACTCGTAAGTCAAGGCCCCACTGTATTCTTCTTGGACTAGAGAATAAATCTGATGCTGATTCTCTCACATTAACAGTCATTTTCTTCTCTAGAAAAGGGAATCACAAATTATTTTTTCTTTGTTATACTTTAACAATTTTCAAATTATCTGCAATGTACATATACATTATTTTTCTAGTATAACTAAAATAGATTTTTAAAAACAATGGCATCAAACTATATCAAGGGTTACTAACACATATTTCACAGACTAAAATCTCAGTAAAAATCTAATCTATAAGCTATAGTAATTACAATCTACATCCAAGGCAAAGTTATTGATTGGATTGTTGGTTTTTCTAATGCCATATGATAGCAATGATGTATAACTTCAACCTAGAACATGACTAAACCATTGTCTGTCACAAATTTCTGATTTAGTTAAGCCTTGAGGGTGGTAACAACCCATACTGTGGTATTTATGTAGAAAAGATATAGTGCCCTTCAAAAGGGGGAAGGGTCCACCCTCCATTTATGAAACATTTTTTTCTAAAATACACACTTCCATAGTTCTCTATAAAGATGAGATATATATACATATATATATATTATATTATATGTATATATATAATAGAATAAAAAGCCAAACAAAAGAATGTTGAAATACAGATATCTTTCTTTTCCCCCTAATTATTTCTTGGCTAATAATGCATTAATGTCATCTATAGTAATGATAACACTGTCCTATATTAGTTTTCTGGCAAGCGGACATACTACATATTTATTTAAATCAGAGATTACCAAAACCTTAAGAAACCTATCCTTTCCCTACAAGAAAACATTTAAAATCATGTTTTTCAGCTTTTTAAAGTTTTCCAGTCTAAAAAAATTTTTTTTCGTAAATTATTTTGAACGTGTTCCATTTGACATCAGCCTTAAAACAAATATTGCTACTGACCTAAAGAAAAATGACATCTTTAAACTATTTCTTTTAAAGAAAATTCTGTTATCAAAAAGAATAGATTTATAGAACTTGAGTCTGTAAAATAACTGTTAAAATGTTAATGTTATCATTTCTAAATCCAGTATCCCATGTTAATAACTAATTTTGAAATATAAAGCAAAGTTTTAAAAGATTTAGGAAACTAAAAAAATCAACAAAACCTTTACACTTATTTAAACAGAAAACAAGTAATTATCACAAGCCACAAACACTTCTGTTTTCGTACCAGTAAATAAAAACATGCTGACAGTCAAATTACTTAACCTGTATTTTCATTATTGGCCTATTTATTATAGAAAGATTGTTTTATTGTATCAATGGCTTCAGGCAAAAGAATTTTCTTATTTCTTTGAATAGATTATGTTCTCGGGTATCTTAAAAAGCTCTTCATATATAAATAAGTATTGAATATAAACATCTCATAAGATTAAATAAAATTAGTACCTAAGATTGAGTAATTTATACTTACAAGACTACTATTGGCCTTAAAGAAACTGAATCTATCTTCTAATTATGTAATTTTAAAAATCAACTGGGAAGAAATATTTCCCTATGATGTTTGTATTCCATGGACAATTTTAAATCTTAAATATATACACATATATTTTCCTACCTAGGTCTGTTACTTGTCGATCAAAAGGGCAACGGATTGCTCTTCCATGAAGAGGCAGGCGGGTGAGACAGTCATGGCAGACGGTGTGGCCACAAAGCAGCAGGCGAGGAACTTTGTCTCCTTGCAAAGAAAAGACATCTTCACAAACTCCACACTCCAGCACCTAATAGTTGAAAAGGGAACATGTGGTCTTTAAGTGATTTTAAAAGCACACATATTGCCCTACCTGGTCTGGCTCAGTGGATAGAGTGTCAGCCTACGGACTGAAGGGTCCCAGGTTCGATTCCGGTCAAGGGCATGTACCTTGGTGGCAGGCACATCCCCAGTGGAGGGTGTGCAGGAGGCAGCTGGTCGATGTTTCTCTCTCATTGATGTTTCTAACTCTCTATCCCTCTCCCTTCTTCTCTGTAAAAAATCAATAAAATATATTTTAAAAAATAAATAAATAAAAGCACACATATTTTTTTTTTTTTAAAGCTGATCTAATATGTTGAATAACGCTTGTTAAATTACTTTATTCCTCCATGGGGGGAAAAACTGTCTAGGTTGGAAAACTTTAAATCACCTTTCATCATTTCATCTGACAGACCCTACCAAAATTACATCAGAGTGAAATCTCCTTGACATGTTGTGTTAAGGGACTAGGATAATGGTGTAAGTTAACATGATCTTTATCTTTTGAAAATTATGACTTGATTCGTTATATCTGAAACAATATATAATTCTCCCAAACATGGGTTATTAAACAACTCCTCTGCAATTCCCTAACCTCCAAAACATCACCATTAATTTGGACAAAACAATTTGGAATATGTGCTAGGATGACAATTTACCTTTCTAATAAAGAACATGTTAAGACTATAAGTAATTTTGAAGTATCTAGTACCCACTTATATCACATAATGTAAAGGAAAGAAAGCAATCACCTTTGACTTAAATTTCAATTCCTTGTTCTCAATTAATAAATATGCCCCTTGGTTAGAGAATATTTTGTCTAGCTAGTTCCAATGACAAGTACATGTTTTGTCCAAGGCCATGTAGTCAGTCAAAAGGAAGGTGACAAGAATCGACATATTCTGATTCCCAGGTCCATGAGTTTATGTTTTATAATTAGTCAACAAACTGTAATTATATCAATGAAAGATTTTTGGTGCTTTTATTTCTTAATACTAGTATATCTGAAGTATTTCATAATTTAAAAATGTACCCAGTCTGAACTGTTTACGTGTACCACAAACCCCTATGCCTGCCATCTGTGACCTGCTACAATCTGATCTGTAGTTCCCAGATTGTTTTTGCCACTTTCTTTCTGCTAATGCTGAGGGAATAGCTAAAAAAAACACTTTTCTAGTGGATCCTCTTTTACATTAATAAACCAACAAATTCCTAAACACTGTATCTCTCAGGACTATCTACAGCTCAGTCCAACTGAAATGACCACAGTGTCCCTGGGGCCCCCATGTACCATGAATAAGTGTCTATCTTAACACCCAAAACACTGGAATACCTTTATTGGCTTTCCAACCTGTCTTTCCTGTTACACCAAAAAAGCTCTCAGGGGAACAGGGTATTTCAAATACCAACTAAAGTCCAACAAAATAAAAATGTAAAAACGAAGTGGCCAACCACCATCCCCAACAAAAACATAACAGGAGGTAAAAAAAAAAAAAAAAAAACAGAAACTCTCCCCCCTCCAAAAAAAAGAAGGAAACCCAGAGTGTAAATCAGACTTAATCCATTAAAATTTTAATCTTAACTCTGAAATTATTTTGGACTGACTACCTGATATGGAAGCATCTTTCACTATAAATAAACAGGTAATTCATAATTGGCTTGCATCCCAGTATGTTTCAAAAGGAGTTTAAATGTAACACACAGCTCACAAAAAAGGAAATGAAAACAATCTTAAGACGTGTTGTCTTTCCTTTAAATATATAAAAAGATGTTCACTATCACTCGAAACACTTTGAAATGCAATGAAAGCTATATCAGTATACTTTTTTTTCCAGATTAGATCAAAGAGGTTGATAACACTTTGTACTAGTGCAAGTGTCAGGGCGCATATCCCTCACACATTGCTGGTTGCTGTGAAAGGTTTTATTGATTGATACAGCTTCTCTGGAAGGGAATTTGGTAATGACTATCAAAAGTTAGAATAGCTCAACAATTCCACCTCAGGAATTTAATCCTACAAATATTTCACACATGTGTAAGAAGACCTACATGCTAATCCTTAACAGTACCATTTGCATTAGCAAGAGATTAGAAACAAAGTATACACCAGCCGTGGGCAAACTACGGCCCGCGGGCCGGATCTGGCCGTTTGAAATGAATAAAACTAAAAAAATAAAAGACCGTACCCTTTTATGTAATGATGTTTACTTTGAATTTATATTAGTTCACACAAACACTCCATCCATGCTTTTGTTCCGGCCTTCCCTTTGTGGCCCTCGAGTCAAAAAGTTTGCCCACCCCTGGTATACACCAATACAAGACTGGAAAAAAATTATGGTACATTCATATACTGCAAAAACGATGTAGTCTACTGAGGAAGAGCTAGGAAACAGCTGCACATAAATTATACATATTATACATACATACACTTCAATTTATCCTGTGTTTTTTTAATGCGGGAAAAAGGTTTCACATAAATATCAAATTCAATTAAATACAGAAATGATATTCACCACAGAATTAGATATTATAAAATAAATGCAACATTTTTTACAAATGTTCTCACTAATGTGACACAATACATTTTACTGGTTATGATAATGAACTCTAAAGAACCAAATTAAAATTTAACTTAGTTCATTTATATCTTATATTTCTGACATTATTATTACACAAGCTAAAAGAACGTATGCTGCTACTATAGGTTTCTTCAAAAAGCACGAGAAGTACACTGATTAGTAAACTAAACACAGGTACAAAAATAAAGTTATTAGACTATTTTGCATCAACTCAGTAAATAATAGAGTAAGAAATTCTTTCTTCAGTATTTATGAATAGGAATTTGGGCCAACAATATATATATATATATATATATATAAAACCCTAATATGCAAATAGACCGAATGGTGGAAAACCTAACAACTGAACAACCAGTTGCTATGACATGTGCTGACCACCAGAGGGTGCACACGGAACATGGCGAGTGTTGGCCGTGGCAGGATGGTGGAGCAGGTAAGCAGGGGTGCCAGCCCAAGGTGGGGCGCCAGTTGCTGTCACTGGGGTGAGCCTCTGGTGGTTACTGAAAATTCTTTCCACCCGTGGTCCCGCCCAGCGCTCACACCTGCTGCTGGCACCCAGTGCCAGCCCTGATCACCCCTCAGGGCTTCTCCACCTCCCCCTGCTCCTGAGGGGCGATCAGGGCAGCAGCCGCCGCTCATACACACTGACAGTGCTGGCCCCACTCACACACACTGCTATCACCAGCCCCAATCACTCTGCACCTCAGCAGGGGAGCAGCAGCGGCAGGAGCGAGGCTGCTGGCCGCAGCAGGAGGGGCCGGGCGGAGGCGCGGAGGATGGGCTGAGACCCGCCCCAGTGCCCACTGCAGCCTTGCAGCCCACAGTTCCTTTCAAGGTGCACGAATTCGTGCACTGGGCCCCTAGTATAAGATAAATTGAGTCCTAGGTAGAACAGCTTTTAATTTTATAAACTTTACAAATACGCCGAAAAGGACTTCATTACATGTACTTATTACATATAAATAAAATTTTAATTAACCAGTCCATATTTTTAAAAGACTAAGAAGGCTCACTTTCTCTTTTTTTGTGTGTGTGCCCTACATGGGATTTCAACCAGCAATCTTCCCGTGCATGGGACGATGCCCAACCAACTGAGCCACAGTGGCCAGGGTGAAGCTCACTTTCAAAAGAAACTTTCCTGATTCTTTTCTGAATGTAAATAATATAATTTTAGATTTTTATCTTTGTTTCTCTAATGATAAAAGCCATGCCACTGTCAATTTGTTCATTAAACAAGAGGCCAGTTTACATAATGTTGGCATTATTATACTTCAATTCTTACCTTCCAATTAACACTCCTTGCTTTCATCTATGAAAACGACAATTTAAAAAAAAATTTATGCCAACATATTTCTTACAAATTACAGCATGAGGCTCTTGCCAAAAAGGACTGTCCTATTGCACAGCTTAGGCACATATTACATGTAAAGATTAAAATGAATAAAGTGAGCCTCTAATATATCAAACTGTGTGCTATTACAGACTGAAGTACCATCAGGCTTTGGTAGAGTTTTGAGATTTTAAGATAAACAGAATAACAAAGTAGATACAGCAATAATATTCATGCCTAATACAACTTCTTAATTCACGTTAATTCACAAAATAATCCAGATATTCTCTACTTAGAAAAAAATACAATTCAATAAATAAAATGTCAACCACACAATATGCCTTATAATAAGAGGGCTCCTTTGCCTCTTGGATATGCTGTGTGTTTTCAGAATAACTTCATCAATACTAGTATATAAAGGTCAGATGAATCAACAACCACCAATACTGACTGAGAATACAGTTGTGAGCAGAAATGTATCATTTGTTGTCATATAAACCCAACATTAGGTGAAAAATCATAGAAGGCTATTATAAATAAAAAATACTTCAGATATTACCTGGTCCAGTGGTTCTCACACATGGTTGCACATTAAAATCATTTCTGGGCCCTGATCGGTTTGGCTCAATGGATAGAGTGTCGGCCTGCGGACTGAAGGGCCCCAGGTTCGATTCTGGTCAGGGGCATGTACCTTGGTTGCGGGCACATCCCCAGTAGGGGATGTGCAAGAGGCAGCTGATCGATGCTTCTCTTTCACTGATGTTTCTAACTCTCTCTCCCTCTCCCTTCCTCTCTGTAAAAAATCAATAAAATATATTTTTTAAAAAATAAAATAAAATCACTTCTGAGAATGTAAAAAATATACTAATGTCAACTTAATCAGAACTGGGGGATGAAGGAGGGGCTGCATCAGTTTGTGTTTTTTTAAACATGCTCAGTGATTCGAAGATGTAGCCAGTAATGATCAGTATCTCAGGTTATAAATAAGGGATTCTATAAACCACTATGATCAGTTTTCCCTTCCAAATTTTTCCATATATATAGTGGAAGGGAAAAATGAATTCCATGTTATTTCAGTTGATTTTTTAGTAACGGCATCTTGGAGCATTTACACAGGGTAGAGTTTCAAACTTCAAGCATAGGGCAATTCATAGACCCCAGTGTTAATGTGCTGATGTTGGAGACTTCTGAAAAGCGCTGACCAGGCCCCAGCTGCTTTGGCTCAGTGGCTACAGCGTGGGCCTGAGGACTAAAAGGTCAAGAGCACATGCCCGGGTTGCGGGCTCCATCTCCAGTAGGGGGGACAGTGCAAAGAGGCAGCCGATCAAAGATTCTCTCTCGTCGTTGATGTTTTTCTCTCTCTCCCTCTCCCTTCCTCTCTGAAATCAATAAAAATATTTTCTTTTTAAAAAAAGTGTTGACCAAGAGAGGAAGGGGGAGATCACCCAATAATTGATGTCTGATCAAGTAACGCAATAGTGAAAAGCAAACTTTGGAGCCTGTCAACCCTAGCTCTGCCACACACTGTTCACTTAAACTTTTGTTTCCTCACCTGTAAAACGGGAATTAACATCAACCTCATCAGTAGACACAAGCGATTTAAAAAGCTAACATAAAACCTGGAGATAATAATGGTTTAATAAAAATAAGCTAATTAATGCCTGTTGAGTTTAATTAAAATCAGAAGACCTGGGGGAAGAAAGCCCAGGTCACTTCACAGGCCCATAAGCTTCTTTTCACAAATGCCCCCTAGGTGATGCCCGGCAGGGGACTGGCAAGAACAGAAGACCTGTCGCGGAGGGGAGGGCCTGGCTTGTGCAGCCAAGAGGGGCCCAGAGGCCGCGCATCCCGCCCGAAGCAGCCCGGGCCGCGGCGCTGCAGCCCCATCTCGGGGATGAACCCTAGGCAGGCCAACGGTGGAGAACAGAGAACGCAAGGCCCCTCACCTTCACCACGGCCGTGCCCCAGCTGCCCTGACGGCCACTGTCTAGTCCCGATCCAGCCTTGTTTACAACCAGAGCAGCCATCCTTGGAGCAGCAGCGCTGCAGAAGCACCCGAAAGGGCCTCCAACCGAGGGGCGGGGCAGAGCCACCTACCCAGAAGCCTCGGCGCCCGCCACTGGCGCACAGGCGCAATACGGCGCGGAGCGGGGGAATGTTCCCAGGACCGCCTCCTTCCTCCTCCCGCCAGTCACTAGCTGGTGCACATCCTTGCGCATGGGCGCTTTATTCTTATTGTTATTAAAGAGTCTGCCACTGATGGAAGGAATAAAGTTAAGAAAAAAAGTAAAGCTAAAACAGAAGTAAAATGTTGGGATGCAACTCCCGCTCCAAGAGCAAGATATTGTCCCCGGCCGCGAAAGGAAGGGGGACCAAGAGGGACTACATCTCCCTGCATGCAGTGCGGTTTTTATGGAAACTACAATTCCCAGCGTGCCACCTCGGTATCTTTTACGCCACAAGGTCGCAATTTCGGAGGCCGAGTATTGCTCAGGCGAGTGGTGTGGTGCAGTCGCCAAGTGTGAATGCGGATGGGAGGAGGAGTATCCTATGTATAGGTATCCCACAGGCCAGATGTGGCCTCGGTAAGAAGCCGCCATTGGGTCGTAAAGGACCTGATAAGGAGGGCATTGAAGACACCACCGGAAGGGACTGTGTTTGACGCCCTGCCTTCCCGAAAGTGCGTTTTTCTGCTCTCTTCCGAGTCGGATTGAACCTCCTCAACCCCCGTAGGCTCTCGGTGGAAAGTGCCGGTCAAAATGGAAGTGAACCCCCCCAAACAGGAGCACCTGCTGGCTCTGAAAGGTAAAGTTTTGCGAACCCGACTCCCCTTCATCTGATCTCTCCCCTCCTCTCTCTAGATCTCCAAGTCCTGGCCTCACAGCCCTGGCCTGTGGGATGTAGGCCTCGTTCTCCTGACACTCGGTGCACGCCCTGCTGCTCTGCCCCTGGTGCCGAAGCGGCGGGAAGCAATGTCAACCCTGATTTTAGGTTTGAGAGCCTCCCTCTGGAGTGGAGAGAGAGACCCGCCGCGGAGGGGAGGGGATGGCTCGTCAAGCCAAGAGAGGCAGATCCCTCCGTTGTGTGTGTTGCAGTCACCAGACAGAGCTCAGTCCCAGGAGCTGACGCTCCCACCGCCCCCGGGAGAGCCCTGTGGCCACGGTGACGACGGGCGCGCTCCGGAGCGGTTTTCTCTGGGGTCTTGTCTCGTCCGGCGGCGCGGACAGAGCCTTCAGCTCCATCCGTAAAAGAGCAGTGCCGAAGAGTTAGAAGTACCCAGTACGGACATATGTATAGTTCAGGTTTGTTAAAACCTGCTGTGGTGTGCTTCGAAATAGTGTGTAATGGGAAAGTTCACCTCAGCGTTCATTCTCTGTACCTAGCAATCAGCTTGAGTATGCTTGATAATTAGATCATTATTTAGAGGAAAAACAGGTTAGAGTTTTTCTGGAATTCCTGTTGTTTCCTGGAAAACTTTTTTAAATGCTTTCAGCTGTATCTGATCTGTTTTCCGTACCACAAATGCACTTTTTTAATTTCTTGGATGCTCTGCTATGTGGTTACTAATCCCTTCTTCGACTGAGCTGAGAAAATGCTCAGTAGACGTTAGAATCCAGTTACATTGCACTTCCTTGTGGTATCCATTGTGAGGGACCTTCCCTTCCCGAAGCCCGCCAGTCCCATTTGTAGCATAAAATCGGGTACTGATAGGTGGGGTTAACAGGACCGTCTCTGCCTGTATAACTAAGGAAGTGCACTATTAAGTCACATAGCAAAATGCCCAATAAGCTTAGCTTGAGCAAATGAGCTGGACTGAAGTGGGTTATTCCCGAAGAAAAAGAAGAAAAGGTGCTGTCAGGGGCTTTATCTCTCAGTCTCACAGCAAGCACGCCGAATAGGGGCTCCTTAACGCTCAAAAAGGTTTCCAAGGTCACAAAGCTAATTATTGATTGAGGCAATATTTCAGCACAAGGCCTTCCGTCGTCTTTTCTAAACTTGAAGTTTAGACAATACTGAAAGAATTCTCAGTGTCATTACCTTACAGTGTGAAAGTATAAGGGGAAAAGTTAAAGCATTCATTCTTGAAAGAATGTGCTATCTAATTTAAGAAACACTAAAAGTTATGAATATTATGAATTTACAAGTTGTCAAATCTGTTAATGGACATTGACAGTAGGTGCAAATAATCATGAGATGACATCTTTTGACTCTTCAGGAAGTGGTCAAATGAGTGTTGACATCATGCCAGGAGTCCCCACCACTGTTATCCTGACAGTGGGAGAACCCTCATCAAGTAGTTCATTTAATGATTTTGAGGAGAAGGGATTCAATCTCTCTCTCTCTCTCTCTCTCTCTTTTTTTTTTTAGTGCAAGATATGAAAGAACTTGCAAGTATGGCTTTTGCAGCTTTGTACCTGGTTAGGAAACCTAACTTGCAGATCCTGGAAGGCTCCATTCTTGAGCCTGTATAATAATATGCTAGAACTTATTATCAATGCTTCATTTGGGGCAGCTTGAGGACTTCTGTGTTACAAGAAGAAAAACATACAGGTCTAGCCTTCTTGCTTCCCTCCAAACTGGAATTCAGGAGCCATGGTTTTGATACTGCTGAAGTGCCCTAATTATACAGAGGAGGCTGTCACAGAACCAGTCCCTGGCCTGGGTAAAATGCAAACTGAAACCATTTTTATGCTTTTAGTGTTTACTACTGAGATGTCTCAAAATTTTAAGTATTATTACCTTTTTTAAATTATCTATGAATCTAGTATTTTAAGAATCACTAATTTTTCTTTGTTTTGTGTATAGTCTTAATATTATTAGTACCTACTATATTAATATCATTATTTCCAAATTCTTTATTATCATTTGAGTTAAACATGTTGACTACTAGCATTTTTAGGCTAGAAGTGAGCTGATAGGGCATCTAATCCAGATCCCTTATTTTCATGGGAGAAAGGATTTCCGGTTTTGTGGATTACATTCACATTTACCAATAGCACTTTGGTAAAATAGTATACTGGGATTGGTTTTTGTTTTTCCTTTCCTCCCTGCCTGTTTGTATGTAGGCTATCCCTTCCATATCTTATTCTTTGCAATACTTCCACTTTAGGTCCTGTTTCCCTCTGATTTGGAAAGAGACAGTCTTGTAATTTTAAATTACATCCTAGCTCTGAGGAGCTCAGCTAAGACATTTTCTGTTCATTAAGAGTAATTGGATTACTTCAGAATGACCACAGAAATAATATTGCATTATCGCCCATATGAGAGTGATCCCACACAATTGCTGAAAGTTGCAGAAAAAGCAATTCAAGACTTTCCTACACATCCACTATCAAGATTTATCCCTTGGTTTCCACATGATGGGTCCAAACTTCCGCTCAAACCTAAACGATCACCACCTGTGATTTCTGAAGAGGCAGCTGAAGATGTGAAACAATCCTTAACCATTTCAGAACATGATGTTAAATCACAGAGTTATGATTGTACAGTAGCGCTATTGGAGTTTCAACCTAATTTGAAAGAAAAGAAGCACTTAATCCGGTCACACACACTCAATGAACAGACTACTTCTGGAAATCTGGATAAACAATCAGAAAAAGGGAAACCGCACAAGAAGAGGTCTTGGAGTGTTTCGCTACCCGGCAGAAATTGTACTGGAGATATTTTTCCTTTGTCTAAAAAATTGCAAGATAGTGTAAAGGCACTAGATTTACACTTATTTTACAGAGCAAGATGGACAATAGATCACACTATATGTAACAACCAAACTCTGGAAGACATTTGGGCAAAACTCAATAGAATTATCAGGCACAATGAGCTTCCATCTTGTAATGCTACAATTCAGAGACATTTGGGCCAAATATGGGTGTTCTGTGATATTATGTACTGTGAATATGTGGGAAATCTCCTTAAAGGAAGATTAGCTCTTACTGGGAAAATAAATTTATTTGTGCGTAAACATGGTATTATTTTTAGTATGTAATGAATTCCAGTGATTGTCAAAAAGAAGACTATTCTGAATGAACAGTATATACTGAAATAGATTAATAAATTTTTTTACTAGTTTTTAAATTTTTAATTACAATTTTTATTTGAACCTTTGCTAGCATAGCCTATTTATTCTTACCATTGTGAGAAATAATTGTGTGGTAGTATGTGTTCAGTTTGTATCCCATGAATAAATATCATGTGAGTTTGTAGACTTGTCATTTAAGTCAAGAACTTTCTTGATTCTACTTTTAACAGCCACTGTTTAAATTAATTGTGATAAATTATTATTTATACTGAAGTTTGAGGTAAAATGTGCCATTCCTTTTCTTTTTGTTACTTTTTCAATGGTTGAGTTATATATTCCTATGAATTACAGTGAATAGTTTGGATTTGGGTAAATCCTTAAAATCTAATTTTTCTAGTATTTTTTCTTTGCTCATCTAAAATGTAATAATTTTTTAAAAATGAAACTAAAACCAGTTTCAGTTTCAGGGAATGCTATTTACGTGGCATGTATATAGTTCACAATGGGAGACCAGCCAAATTATGCTGATGTTCCCAAAGATATGTAATAGATAACAGTTGATGTGTTGTCTTGAAACAAAGGTTAAAAAAATGTATAATTTTCTTAAGACCATAATGTATCTTTAAGACTATATAACATGTTTTGAAAAGAAGTATCAAATATGATAAGAAATCAAGTTACTCTTTATTCTAATACAAGTAATTCCATCTTAATGACTGTTAATACCGGTTACTAGCCTGCTGGTTCTTGAAGTCATTGTTGGTTTCCCATAACCAAAATGTTATAAAATGGATTTATGCATCACCTCATAGAAATAACCAAAGAACTTATATGGGTATATGCACAGCCCCTGGATACACAATAGTGTGGTGAAGGCCTGGGGGATGACGTGGGGGCAGGGTGGAGGGGGTCATTGGGGGGAAAAAGGAGGGACATATATAATGTTTTCAACAATAAAGATGATTTTTTAAAAAATAACCAAAGTGATTATGGAATAAAAGGTTTATAAAAGCATGTATTTATTTAATAAATTTAAATGCCTTCTATGAGCTAGGTACTGGAATGTAGTAGGAAAGGACGCAAACATGTACCCTGCCCTCACAGAGTTTACATGGAATTACTACTATTAAGTAGTAAAACCAAACCCTTGAAAAAACCCAGTAAGAGTGTATTCACCAGCAAGGTGGAGAAATGTTTGCCTTGTGGCATAGTGCCTGGCATCGTAGAGGTCTGTAATACGTGATAAATGTGCCCTTTGGAGAGATTCTTCACAGGCTGATATTGCTGTGAGTCTACTAATTTTTAACTGAAGAGATCATCTTTTCCAATTAGATTTTACTCTGTTCAAATATTGTTTTGTTTTTAACTATTTTTAGTATCATTTTATTGTCTCAAATGAGACTGCTATCTAGAAAGTAAGCAGCATGTGCATGAATGCTTCCAAAAGTCTTTAAATGAAAAATCACCTGTTGTAGAGGGAGTTTCCAAGGTAGCTTCTTCAGTAATGACTTCCTCTTTTGTTCATCGGTCTTGCTTTTCAATCCAAGACGGCTGGAGAAATGTCAAGAAGCCATTGAGTCTTGCTAGTGAGCTTTTGAATAAGAGTTGGCAAAAATAAATGGTGAATCTGATTTATATTGTTCAGGTCTTATTTACTGTAAGGTTGCTAATAAAGGGTTAAAAGTTAGGTACTCGTGCCCTGGCCAGTGTGGCTCTGTTGGTTGGGCATTACAGGCATGTGTCAGGGCACATGCCTGGGTTGCAAGCTCAATCCCCTGTAGGCGGGTGGAGGGTGCAGGAGGCAGCCGATGAATGTTTCCCTCTTAGATTGATCGCTGTCTCTTCCCCTCACCCTTCCTCTCTCTAAAAATCATGCACTAACCTGTTGGGCTCAGTGGATAGAGCATCAGCCTGCAGACTGAAAGGTCCCAGGTTCAATTCCAGTCAGGGGCATGTACCTTGATTGCGGTCACATCCCCAGCAGGAGGCAGCTGATCGATGTTTCTCTCCTTGATGTTTCTGTCTATCCCTCTCCCTTCCTCTCTGTAAAAAATCAATAAAATATATATTTTTAAAAAATCAATTAAAAAAAACAAACCTAGGTACTCATAACACTGTTTTTCTTTGATAGCTTTTTATTTATTTTGAAATGATTGCACACAGAGCTGAAAATACAAGGTATAGTCTAACATCATGGGATTCTTATGAAGAGTAGTAGCTTTTTAATCCAAGAACCACACATTAAGAAGAGCTTGTTTGTTTTCATATGTGGCAGATTTAAATTTTTCTAATTTACTCTCTATCAATTGCTTTTTAACCCTTTGAGAAAAAATGAAAAGGTCATTCAGAAATGGGAAACTGAAGATTAAGTAATATTGCAAATATTGTCAGGATCTTAAAAGAAGGGGGTAGAGGGGACTCATTTTTCTTCTACCTAGAGAGTACTTAAGAAGTAATCAAGGCCTAAGAATTTAGAATCCATGGCTACTTTGCATATTTAGAACCTTAGAACTCACGATTCTGTCACAAGCTAATAGTAGGGCTAAACAGTGTTTCTGGGTTACAATCTTAACATAGACATGGAAATAAATTGGGGAAACAAAGGCACATACAGGAAAGTGTATCTGTGAGGGCATTTGGTAAAATCCAATCAGCTTTTACTCTCCAGGGAAATGCAGCAGCACCATCATTTTATTTTTCCCTGATAACCCATCTACCTTCAAATAAATGTTAGTAAAATGCAAAGAAAAAAGATGAAAAGGCATTATATTAATTTAACTTTATTTGCTAACTCATCAAATAACTTAAAAATCACTTTTTGAAAATTTTCAAAATGAGCTCCTGCATAATGATTCTCTTTGATTTAATCTCAAAATGCCCAAAATTAATTCAGAATTCACAGACATAAATGTCTTCAGGGACTTGATAGACTGTAGAATGTGGTAAGGATTCCAAACCTGGAGATTAATTTTTTTTTTTTTAATGTTATGGCCAAGCAAAATTTGTGTGCAAGTGGAACTAGGCCCAGTTTATCACTTTGTAACTTCAGGCCTATCTTTCTCTTAACTTATTTGATATGAAACCTGAATTTCATAAATAAATGAAATGTCTGTTTTGTGAGTTCTACTGTAAGTGTCACTACATATGGCACTATATGAATATTTGGCACTCAACTAAAAATCACATTGCTTATTGCTCTAATTTTTTTGGCAAAGTACCTACTTTAACATTCAAGGCTGGTTACAAAATTACTGTTTACCAACCAGGGCTTTATTATAGTTCCTAAACCTTGCTTCAGTTAGTATTTGCTCTTTCCAACTAACATTATATATAATTTTTTATGTCTATTACTGTAAGACAGTAAATACTGTGTTTTAAATGTGTATTTGATATAGGCATACTTTGGATTATCTTTCAAGGAGTGAGATAGTTGTATGTTAATAACTAGGCTTTCTCAGTTTGTATTTAAAATCTGCAAATATGACATATAGTGTCTTTTTAATATGTCTCTTGATTTTTAAGTGGATTTATAGGTTAAATTATTTTTCCCAAATAATCTAATATATGTATCTCTATGGTCTTCAGTTAATAAGCCAATTAGTTTATTGTAGACTTAAATTTTTAAATATATGGTAAGTCCAGTTCTCCCCCCTATTTCCCCATTTATTTTCTTATTTTCATTTATTTTTCTAGATAAACTTTAGATACATTCTTCTATGTTCCAAGAACAAATCTTATTTCTGGTTGGAATTAAATAAACCAATAAACCTTTAACTGATATTTTTGCACTTTCTACAAAGAATTAATATTACTAGAAGGGCCACTTGCTGAACTTTCAGTGGTCAGTAATTATAATAGAGGGGTACAGCTCACAAAAGGCCTTTTTGTCATAAAGTTTTTGTTTCATATTCAAAATGATGCATCTAAGCTTATTTTCCTGTCAGGCTTCTTTTGATTAATATTTTGTTGATATTGTTTACACTTAAGTCACTCAGGATTTTTTTTAAAGCCTTGTTCTCCTAATATACCTTAATAAAGTCTTTTATTTTCTAGTTTTTCTGTAATGAGGTATATTATATTTACATTTAATTTTTAAAGTTCATTAAGTTAAAAAAATGTAAAATTATTTTCTCATGTATAAAATTGTTTCATATATTAGCATTTTTTAATGAACTATTGCTATATAATCTTAGGAAGTATTTAATATCATTTAGTTTAGGAAGTATCCTATCTAATGAAAGAGTAATATGCAAATTGACCATCACTCCCAACACAACATGGCCGCCCCCATGTGGTCAAAGATGGCCGGCAGGGTAGGGCAGTTGGGAGGGACCAGGCCTGAAAGGGAGGGCAGTTGGGGACAACCAGGCCTGCCGGGGAGGGCAGTTAGGGGGCCACCAGGCTGGCAAGGGAGGGCAGTTAGTGGTGACTGGGCCAGCAGGGGAGGGCAGTTGGGGTGACCAGGCTGGCAAGGGAGGGCAGTTGGGGGCGACCGGGCTGGCAGGGGAGGATAGTTAGGGGCAATCGGGCCAGCAGGGGAGCAGTTAGGCGTCGATCAGGCTGGCAGGGGAGTGGTTAGGGAGTGATCAGGCAGGCAGGCGAGCAGTTGGGAGCCAGCAGTCCTGGATTGTGAGAGAAATGTCCAACTGCCCAGGCATCCCTCGAGGGGTCCCAGATTAGAGAGGGTGCAGGCTGGGCTGAGGGACACACACACCCCCGTGCACAAATTTTGTGCTCCAGGCTTCTAGTATAGTTATATTTTATATTAGTATAAAATTGATGAATGCCATGGATAGGCTTGGGAATACTAGCCCAAAGCAATATTAACATATATATATTTTTTTTACTGTTGGAATTTACAGTGATGCGGTTGACGAAGCCTACTTTATTCACCAATATTCCAGTAACATGTGAAGAGAAAGACTTACCTGGTATGGCACTTACTTTATTCTACTTGCACTTAGGGAAAAATTGGCATCTTGATGGCCTCTATTACCTTCGAATAAGCCCAGCTTTGCCAATTTTATGCTCTTTGCTACATTCTCTGTTCCCTGTTTTTGTAGCATGCGAGTGGTAGCCATTGAGTAACAGGTCTCATTTATAAGGTACTATTAATATCCGATGGCAACAGGAGATTTTTATTTTAGGTTTAATAATAATACATTCCATAGTCATAATACTATAAAAATTACATTTGTCTTTAAATGTTCCATCAATGTATGTACTAGCATTCCCTTTCTTAA